AAGAGGCGGTGAAGAGGCGGTGAAGAGGCGGTGAAGAGGCGGTGAAGAGGCGGTGAAGAGGCGGTGAAGAGGCGGTGAAGAGGCGGGGAAGAGGCGGGGAAGAAGCGATGAAAAAGCGGGGGAGAGATGAGAAGCGCGGTAAGGAGAGTGCTAAGCGGGACAGGTATGGTGGCCAGCTGCACCCCTCACTTTAGCTCTACCAATTCAGTAGTCGCCTCTCAAGTGGCGTCACCATCCCGGGGAGAAGACTTTACCTGCTGCTCATACTTCGTCGAAAGGACGTCAATATATTGAGAGTCCATATCGCTATAGACACTGTGAAACAAAACGGGGGTGAAGCATATATCCTTGCTGCTGTGGACAGTCACCAATATGTAATCTGTAAGATACATTTTGACCAAACTGGAGTCCCTAATTTTGTCCAAAGTCAGCACACCGCTTCTTCGGTGGGGAGTGACTCCCTTGGGTAGGTAATTGTTCAGGTAGAAGAAAAAATTCACCGCTCGTAGAGTGTGCAAATAGGGGGTCTTTAAAATGAATAGGATGTTATCCTCCGACAGCATAATGTAAGTGTTGTTGCAGTAAACTACGTCGACGATGTTGAGCTTGGGGTACTCCAATTTTTTGAAAGTGAATCGTTTGCTTTGTCTTCCCTTGAGAGCGGCGAATTCGGTGGAGGCGACCACTTCATCCGCATGCACCGCCTCCGGTAGAGGTGATTCCCCCTGTCCGAAAATCCAGAAATAAATTTCTTTATTTTCAAACAACACGCAGCCATGCGCGCACGATGTGCCGCTCAACAGCACCTTCGGCTTCGAACGTATCAGCCTCTTTTTGAATTTCAAATTGTTAGACGTTTTTATGAAGATGAAATGGTCCTTCTTTTTCGTAACTCGTTCGAAGTGGCGTTCCATTCGCGGGGCATCCATTTTGCACGGGTTAATCGTGCCACCAGTAGCTCTGCCACCCTTATTTGATCCCCCCTCTGCCCCTCTCCCCCCTGTCGCCCTCCCCACGTCGGACGAACTTCCACTCTGCGGTAGCTGGCCAGGGGGGCGGCCCGCCTTGCCTCGATTAATTCGCCTTCTTTTTTTGGCCCTGTCTTGGGTCGGATTATCATGATGGTCTTCCCCCCTTTTCACTTCACCCACCGCGCAGTCGAGGGGATCTGCGGCGCGGTTCTCTTCTTGGTTGCGGTTCTCTTCTTCTGCCTTTACACTTGTACTGAGTTTGCTTCCACAGGAGGGGGACTCGCTTTCGGAAATTCGCTTTTTGTTCTTCCCCTTCGGAGATGCTCTTACCATTTGGGAAAGCCTGCCCGGTTGGGAAGATCTCCCTCTTTCTTTCGACCCCTTTCTGTAGTCCACTTTGGAACTCTGATATGTGTCCATTCCGTGTGGTGTATTTTCCACGTGAAGTGTGGCGGCTTCACCGGAATGCTTCCCGTTCGAAGCTTGCCCCGGTGTAGTTATCCCCTGGTTGACGCAGCTGACTCTTCTCCCTCCACGGTCGTTCCCACGATTGCCGTTCTCACCACTGCCGTTCCCACCGTTGCGCTTTCCAGCGCGCGTATAAGACAACTCAAATATCGATGCGTACTTCAAATAGACGGCGCAAGAGCGGAGGTCATATTCACTGAGCTCGGGTAGGCTGACCAGAATGGTCCTCATTCGCAATCTGCGCTTCTCAAACGAGCGAGGAACGATCATCTTCATCTGCTTAATGTTAATTCTACTCGAATTAACATTCGTGTTCAGGCCTAAGTATAAGTTGTCCTTGCTGTCAATTAAGCTAAGTCCGAAAAAGTGAATCGGATCGATGGTCTCATGTTGGTGTGTAGAAGAACCAAACTGGGTGTCATCATTCAGATCATAATCTGGTCCCTTAGGATGGTCAAAGTAGAGGTCTCCTTTGTAATTACAGGAGACAATCTGAATGTCTTTTATTTCATTCGAAGTGGGAAGAGGCAAATGTTTCCACTCATTGAAATGGTCCAGATGCCACAAATACCGACTATGCTTGTATACATATAATCTATTGTCTGAGAGGTACACAAGAATATGCCATCTGGAGAAATGAATCATTTTGATATGATTCTTCATGAAAATAAAATGATTAAAAAAGTAAGCGTTCATATGTATTCCAAGATGTGGTCTGAAATGCCTGTGTGTGAAGGTGTACGTCTCGTTTGCGAACCTGGCAAAGGCTCCTCCGAAACAGACGAAGTTTCTTCGCACGTCATACTTCTCCATCAGCAGGGTCAATTCTTTCATTTGGTACTCTGTACTCAGTTGTGGGGAGGGGTGTCGCATGGGGCTGATTATTACGTGTGTGGGGATATCGCTGGGCGGTTCTGTTCTCGGGCTGCTCTGTGGCAGGAGGAGTGGTGGGACTCCTTCAAGGGAACCCTCCCATTGGCACGAAGATGGAGACGCACGCATGGTTGCAGTGATGGCACGCGCGCGCTCCTCACCAGTGACGTCCTTCACGCAGATGTCCTTCATGCAAGTGTCCTTCATGTAGTCCTTCTTCATGCATTCGTGTTTTATGCATTCTTCCCTCCCGAATTCATCCTCGCAACGGGGGTCTGCCAACTCCATGCAGACCGTACCCCCTTGGGCCTCCCTCATCCTCGGGTGGCAAGCCTCCCCCCTGTTGCGCGGAAGCATCTCCATTTCGGTTGTTCGGACAACCGCGGGGGGAATGATGCGGCGCGTGGCGTTTATTTTTTTCGTTGTTTTTTTGCTTTCTCTTTTCTTTCTTTCTCCTTATCTTTATTTTTTTATTTTATTTCTTTTTCCTTTCCTCACGATTGAGCTCATTTCCGCCTCGGTGACCCCCTCTGGACCCGCGGTTGCAACCAAGGTGCTTTGCCTTGGACGACATCCAAATCATAGTGATGGCCCTGGCGCAGTCATCACAACGGGGGTGCTCCTTCTTGGTTCCCTCTCTTCCGAGGTTTTCCAGCTGATGCGCGGTTTTCCAGCAACTGGGCCCTTTTACACCTCTTTGGTTTGGTGCCAGCTGGTGTCACCTTTCTGTAAGCGGCTGCAGTGTCGGTGGCGAGGCGGAAAAAAAAAGTGGGCAGAGCCAACAAAGTGGCCAATGGAAGAAAGTGACCAAGGGAACAAAATGGCCAAGGGAACAAAATGGTGAAGAGAACAAAATGGTGAAGAGAACAAAATGGTAAAGAGAACAAAATGGTAAAGAGAACAAAATGGTAAAGAGAACAAAATGGTAAAGAGAACAAAGTGGTAAAGAGAACAAAGTGGCCAAGGGAACAAAATGGTGAAGAAAACAAAGTGGTAAAGAGAACAAAGTGGGCAGGGACAACAGAAGGCACGAAAAGAACAAACTGGTTGCACGAACAAACGTGAAACAGACTGGCTCCAACGCAACATTCTTCGCCGCTTTTTTTCCCCGCAGTGTAATCTACGTCCACATGAGGAGCCCAACGTGTATTTTTTTTTTTTTTTTTTTTTTTTTTTCTGTCCACTGAAATGTAGCCATAAGTTTTTTCTTACGATTGGGTGTACAATTAGGATGTTTGAAAAAAAAAAAAAAAAAAAAAAAAACTCCACACATTTTATGGTCATTTTTGTTGGTGAGAAACAACATCATGCGCCCTTCACACGTTTGGTTTCTCCGTCAATATGTTGCTAACAGAAATGTTATCCCTTCCTGACATGCCTCTACTGTTGCGCAGTTTTAAGGAGCAGGGATGAGAAGGAAAACCACTAACGTTAAGTAACAACCGAGGCGATGCGTCAAAAGTGACTTCCCCTCCGAGGTTACGCGTTACACATTTGTTGTATGCACGGTGTGTGTATTTCATCTCTCCAGGAGGATAACAGCGCGGTCATAGTGAGTGTCGGGACTGATTGTTATCCTCACCCGACATGCACCTGTGTATGTGTTGTCTCTACATGGGCATGTGCATACGGACTGGGAGGAAAAAGTCAATATCGTTCTCTCACCACGATGGCATTCACTCCACTGGATGTTAATATTAAAGAATAAGAGATGGGGAAGGAAAAAAATAAACGTGGAACAACAAAAGATTCACCTCTCCCCCGTAAAAATAATTCGCCGCGGTCCGGTCCATCCCAGACGGGTAGCCCTCGTTGGTGTGTCAATCCAATAGGATAACAAAATGAACGCGATGGATCCTGACCTCTACCAAGAGGAAAAAAAAAAAGAAAAAATACCGCCCCAAGGAGGTGACAACTATATGGTGACAAAGGTCACTCTCCAGGAAACACTCTTCACAGACGCGGAAGAGATCACCTGTTGGCGAGGCATTCTCTTCCTCCACCACGCCCAGAGGTTATAATGAAAAAAAAAAAAACGTCCATAATTAGGCGAATACACATCCGCACAATACAGAATCGCCACAGAGGATGTTCCCCAAAAAAGGCGATCGCATATCTGTGTTGTCACCTCGAAGCCCACACAGTAACGGACTTATTGAAATAACCAATTTGGGTCATCTGACCGAATGATCACCCAACTTAACCCCCAGTACGCATCACAAGTTGCGCAAAAGAGAAAGAACAAACCATTCTCTGAAACAGAAGGACGAATTGTACAAACCGTCAGAGGAACCACATAATATGTGCCCCGGGGGTTACTCCCAAACTGTGAACCTTCAACCATGAAAATGTAAAAGTGAGCTCCTTAAGGGGCATCCCTAATTTTTCTCACCTTAATATGGACCACACAAATTAGCTGGAACCGTGGAAGTGAGCCCCTTAAGAAGGGTCTCTAGGCGGTGTGAGCACGAACCCTACTTGTTGGCTCCTTAATAGGTGTCCTTACAGTATATATAGCGCCCCCTCTAGCATTTGTGGCTCATTAACAGGGGTCCTCCTAATGAAGCTGCAAGAACGCTAAGAAGTGAAGCAAAACCGCGCTCCTACAATATACACGCCAATTAACGAGGGCGACGAGACTGCAATAGATAGCCTTGTAGATGACCTGTACATCCTAGGCGTGCGCGGTAGACCCCCCGTGACCGCGCCGCGGCAACCTCTCCCCGCACCACCTAGAACCGCTAACAAACCGTGTGTACAGATATATTCCTTTTTGTGAGTGAATGTCGCTACTTAGGTCTCCCCTCTATGCGTGTATTTTTTTCGCCCAATCTGTTCAACGTTTTGTTGAATTTTTCTTATAAAAGAGTGGGGCGCCATGATTGCTTCACAAATAGAGTAGAAGCAAACTGATGTAGGAGCAACCAAAATTTTCCCCTTTTCTAACATGTGATAATAGCTATGCAGTGGAGTGCCTTTTGGCAAAATAAGAAAATTTTGTAAGCTTCTCCGCGAGTGTGCTAGTAAGGGGTATTCTGCTGTCCCATTTGATGAGCAATTTGCCCCCAAACGCAGCGTCGAAGGCTCCCCAAATGAGATGTTTCAAAGCAGGGCAGTTTGTTCCAGGAAAACATTTGACGTATTCGCTGTCCGCTTTCTCATTCCCACCGAAGCGATAGGAGGGAGGTGTATTCCCTGCCGCAAATTCAGCGGCAGGAAGACTCTGGTGTATGAGCACATTGATGATGAGGACTTCCTAACAAGGAGAGGAGACTCCATCAATTCGATTGTCAACCACAGATACGTCAATGAGAAGATGCGCCAGATTAATTCGCTGTTGAAGGGCTGCCATGTTAGCTGCGGCATGCAACATGGGTTTTGCAAGCAGGGAAGAGAGAACAAACACGGAAGTGAAACCAGCCAGGGAGGTGACACCCACCAGGGAAGTGACAATGAACACATTGATCAAGTCATTAAAATTCTGTACACACTATGTGTGAAGGGCAATATTGATACCTCTGACGATCGCGTTAGCTACTCTGTGAACTTCGTCCTGCGCTATGTGAATGCATACTTGGAGGATGCCCCCATGATCGGAGGACAGAAAGAAGGAAGGGGGGGGGAAAAAAAATTCGTCAGCATAAACAGCTATATGCTCCTTTTAGATATCTTAAAAACTCTCCATATGAAGGAGGAATATAGCAACCTACTCAGACACGTTAGCGAGAACATACACTTCTTCTCTGTAGACGTCGTTAAGAGAATTGCCCTTAACTACGACTTCAGTGAACGGTACCATCCGGGCGGGGGTGACCATCTGAGGAGAAATGTCTTTTCCTTCTTTAAGGAGGTCATACGTTACATGTATGGGCTGATTCAGTCTGACAGCGAGCTGTACTACAGAGAGATAAACAACATGAACACGTGCATTAACATATGCACACACTTCTTCTTCGGGAAGAAGTACTTCCCACGGAAAAAAACTTACCATTATGACGTAGACGAGGAGGTCGTCTATCTGTACAGCATGAATTATATTTACATAAAGCATATAGCCACGCTTGCCGATATGGTACGCATCAGGGGAAGGTCAAAGAAAGAGGACTCTTCGCCAAGGAACTCGCCTAATGATAGGTTGTTTCCCCCTTCCTCCCTGGCAGATCTCTCTGCAGCGAAATACGAATGGGGAGGAGGCACGTCGGGTGAGTATGGCAGTCACATTGGCAAAACACCTGACAAGCTCCGAACTGATACTCAGGATATGCTAGACAGTTGTGCGGACAAGGACACCCGGGATAATTCCCTCGCCCCACGCATCGGACGAAACCACACACACATCACGGAGGACTTCCATTTTAACTTCCACGCAGTTGACACAATTTACGTACTGTACAACTTCTACACACACTTCCTTTTGAAAAAAAAAAAACAGTCAAGGAAGGAACATGTATTCCTCTTCTTCCCCGAGGTACGAGATAACATTACGGACATTCTGCTCAGCTTCATTCGGACACTCAGAAGAGACATCATCGAAAATAAAGGCGTGACGAATAAGAAAGTGATCGCTTCCCTGGAGAGAGTGCTAATCCTGGGGATAGCCTTCGATGTCCCCTTTGCTTTGAGGCCCTTCTTACTTTATCACTGCAACGTTTTTCTGTTAAACAAGTTCGACTTATCTTTGCTGGACAACGTAAAATTGTTAGCTCTTCTAAGGCAGCTCCAACGGGGAAGCGCAGCGGGGGAGGAAGCGCAAATGACCGAAGCGCCGCTTCAACGAGGCGACAACTCCTTTGACCAGCTAGCCAAAATGGACAACCCCATTGTGCAGGTGGAAAAAAAAGAAAAAAAAAAAAAAAAAACTCCTCCAGACCAGCTGCACACAGAGCGAGACGAGACCAATACAGGGCATTCCGCTGGACGCCAGACGAGCAGCCACCTCTTCCTGGAAAACTTGATAAAGTTAATTTTTGACAACTTAAAAAAATGCCTACATAACGCAAAGGGGAACGACCTGTGCATGCTGATACCCGCAGTGTACGCATACCACAAGTACATGGATGAGGAATTAAAAAATATATTAACCGTTCAGGTGATTTGCAACAAGGAAAGTATGAACGCAGCGAACGTGGTGAACATTTTACGAGTGTTTTGCAAAATGGGATATAAGAATGAACTTATTGACAAGTTTGTCTACAACAACATGAAGTTTGTCACTCATGGGGGGGATAAGAAGTGGACGGATGACCAGTGGAAGGATAAGGAGTGGGCAGATAACTCCCCTGCCGCAGAACGGGACGACACACAAAATGTGTGCTTTTCCTGTCCCAAGTTATTTCTCCTCTTCTTCTATTACAAAGGTAAAAATGGTTTATTCACATACAAGGATATTTACTACGTGGAGAATTACATTCAGAGTTGCTTCCTCGAGATGAGCATTAAGGATTTTATTTTCCTTCTGTTGATTTATTCCAAAAATGGAGTATTCTTTCTACCCCCATTGTTGCTTAAAATTTGTGCCATTTTTAACAACGGGAAGAAGTACATACCTGGGGATGACCTCCTCTTCGGGTTGTTTCTGCTCGCGAAAAATTATCACTCCCTCGCGAGTTCTTCCGATGAGAGGGGTGGTGCGCAGGATGGCTTCGTCCCTCAGCAACCCCTCAGTGCCAAGGACAAAATTAACCTGTTCAGGAAGAGTCAGTACAGTCAACTACATATAGACAATTTTGTCAACACGATCAACGAGGTGTTACTGTACCTGTACGATGATAAGCTGATTAACTGCAAGGCGGACGAGGTGAGGCAATTGCAGGGGGGGGAAACAGACAGTGATGATTCCCGCGCTGGAGGGAATGAGACAGATCGGCTGATAAATAACATGGCCCTGCAGAGCGATCATTCCTTTCTTCACACTCCAAGTGAAACGAAAAATAATTGGAAAAGCATCTTTAGCAATGTAAAGTATAACATGAGAATGATGAAAATTTTTTACCTCTTATATTACCCTCTCTTAAATGGACAAAAAAAAAAAAAAAAATTCTGAACATGCATCACGAAAAGTTCATCACCTACCTGTTTTCCCTCTTTAATGATAATTTCAGCAAGAACGAAAAAGACGTAAAGTACATCCCCCCCCTGCTGCATTATTTTAGCTATTTCGATGTCTTCTCTCCCATCTACTTTAAAATGCAAATGTCGTACATAATGCAAAACTGCGCTCTTGATTTCTCCCTCCTCAAGTACACACTGCTTAGTCACGTTTTTGTTAGAAGAGAAATGCCCAAAGAAATAAAAAATCGTCTGAAAGAATACGTCGCAAGGAACTTTGAGACGTTTGCGCCCCCCCTCCAGGTGTTGTGCCTTAAACATTGCAATTATTTCTTGCACCTACATGGAGACACGGAAAAGGCGGTCCAGGGGGAGGACCACCTCTTATTTAACAAAATGGTGAATGGTGCACTCTCTAATCTGCCACATATGAAGGCCAAGCATTATCTCGACATTTACATAACCCTCTGCAACAATACAGTTCGGATAAAGCAGCATTACATTGAGCTTTTTAATCACATGAACAGACATGCAGCACACTACACCGGTGAGCAGCTGATGCTGATCCTATTTTACATGTACAGGACAGGCTATAGCAAGCCAAAGATAAGGAAGAAAATACGAAATTTAATTTTGCATTACCACAAGAAGAGGAGAATTGACCTGGGGACCTACGTCAAATATGTGCTGCCTCTGGACGAGTTCGGCATTTTCCACCTCTTCCCGGTGAAGTTCCAGCGCTGGCTGTACGATCAGGTGATGAGGCGACACCGCGGTGGAGTTCCAGCGTTGAAGTTCCCCCGGTGAAGTCCCCGGGGTGAACAAACCGTGGAGACGCCAACTCAGAGACCCACGCAGAATCTAGCGCATTCTTCACCGGGAAATGTATTCCATTTTTTCCCCCACTCCTTTTCCCCTTATCGCAGCTGACCGAGGATGTGCGAGTGTGTGTACGGGAACCTCTAACGGGTGAAGCGGTAATGGGGGCGATAGAGAAAGATGGCCACATGGGATGGCCACAAGGGAAGGCCACATGGAAAGGCCACATGAGCGCTTCACAAGTGCACGCTCTGTGAATGCCACTCCGTGTGCTTAAAAGAAGGCTGTTCACGGTGGCACAAAGAGGGAGCGACAAAAAGTTGCTCCGCGCTATTTCTATCCATTCATGTCCCCATCTGTGCTGACTCCTTTTGTTCGTTTCGCAGGTGGAGGAGGTAGTTCGCACATCCCTGACTAAGGAGCGCGAGGTAATTTTTCCGCCAGGCAAAAGGGAACCTTCCCGCGCATGTTATTGTGCATATGTATACATGCGGAGACGGACATCGTTGCACCGTTTCACGCCAAGGCGTAGCACTAACGTGGGGGCATATGTCGATTGCCGGAAGCAACTTCTTTGTATCTTCCACCCCCCCTCTCCTTCGTTCTACGAGGAGGCGGGAAAAAAAAAATATTCTGCCCGTGTGACAGATACATATATTGATCCCCTCTGGAAGGAGTCGAAATACATGTCAGGGAAAACCTCCCTTCACATTATTTTTTATTTCCTTTTTCACATGATTTTTTATTTTCTCTTTTCACCATTGGGGTACCCTCAGGAATGCAGCGTCGAATCGAAGAAACCGAAAGAGACGGATGAGCAGCAACACGCACCCATTTACATTTTCGAGCAGATGGTTAAGAGTTACTAATTGGAGCGGGTAGTAAAGATTCTCGCAATTTGTGCAGATGATTAATAGCTACTAATTCGCGCAGAGAAGCTGCACCGCACGTATGGCACTTTAAGTAGGCGCTATAAGCAGGAGGTGCAAAAAAAAATGATGCCTGACGAGGTAGCATACCCTCATTAGCGTACTTTTTTTTTTTTTTTTAAATCCTGTTTACCGATTTGGAAGATGCATAATTGTGTTCCTTCGCCTTTGGGAAAGGCCAAATTTACGTGGAAATGTAAATTTTGCAACAGTGACCATTTTTTTATTTAATAAAATGTAAAGTGCAAAATGTACACCGGGGATAGGGTTAGCAGTTTTTTTTCCCACCATCCCGGCATAATGTTTTATTTTTATATGGAAGCAAATAAAAGGTACTTTTTTTTTTTTTTTGATCGTGCTTGTAGCAGTGATAGTACACTGTATTGTATTGCATTCTTTCTTTTTTTTTTCTTTTACAAGTGATAAGTCGCCTTTTTGAACTTTTTTCTTTTTTTTTCCTTTGTTTCTTCCTTTTTTGGAAAATGCTTAGCCATTTTTTCTCGGCTGTTTTTAGCTATTCTTAGCTGTTTTTTTAGGCTTCTTGCCGCTCCTTTTTGGGCCCCCTTTTTAGCTACTTCGCCGCTCCTTAGTCACTTAGGCATTTTTTGGTCCCTATTGGGTCACCTATTGGGTCTGGCGATTTTTCTGAAACCTGTTATGTATTTTTTTGGCATCTTGCCATTTTGGGTTTTTGCCATTTTGGGATTTTTCCTTTTTTTTCTTTTTTTTTCCCCCACTGTCGCCATTCGTGCGAATATACGACAGTCGGGGGAGTAGGCGTTTTTCGTTTCCTTTTTTCCCAGTGAGGGGGTACCCTGTAGTTACATTGGCTTCTCCTCCGAAGTACGCAGGTACCGCAATAGTGCTGCGACGCGTTTGCGCATGAGAAGAGGCAAGGGAAAATGAGCATACAAACAGCCAACCGGTGAGCATACAAAATTTATGACTCGAATATAGTTTCGGGATGCGCCACAGGAGTGGTATACTGCTGCGTAGTGCCCTACGTATAGATGATGCATTGGTAAGCTGTACCTTTGAGGGATGAGTATTTGTACGCCGAGATACACCGCGCCCAGTGAAGCTGAGTCTTCGCGGAAGGCTCCCTTCTACATATCATTCCAGCGTTGATGAGGCTGCGTGCCGAGCTCACCCCCGTGTCGCAAGTCTGTTGAGCAGATATTCCAATCGGTGAGAAGGCCATCTTCGTAATTTTCTGCCATAACGGCGCAGGAAGGTTTCTTTCTTATCGATCAGCATAGGAGAACACATCGAGACCGTCGTTCTGTCCCTCTCGTCAGCACCCGCATGACGCACACGTCGAACGTCCCGAACGGGCGTCTGGGCAGCGGGGAGGTCGATCTGAGAAGTAAATAATAGTTGCCAATTTTGAAGAATTCTATTACCACTGCGTTGTGGTGGCGTCATTTCTGCATTATTTCTACGTTATTATTTTGTTATCATTTTATTATCATTTTAATATTTATCATTTTATTATCATTTTAATATTTATTATTCTCCTATTTCAATACCTCTTCTGTGGGGGACCACTCCAGCTGCATAACATAGTGGGCTCCTTGTTCGCCCCGCCCCCCGAGGGAGCCATCTTTCGATAAAACCGAAAGTGACTCCTCAGTAGGGCCGTCAATCGAATAGAAGCGCAGGTGTGCAAAAGGAGAAAAAAAAAAAAGCGCATCAGTTGGGAAACCCCTCCCCTCTTAATGATGAACGAGGCTATCGAGGAGGATTTGGTATATGAAGATCTGCGGAATGGTGAAGTTGACCTGATAGACATCAGCACAGGCGATGTGGAAGGAGAAGATGACTACGACGAGGAAGAGGAAGAAGAAGAAAACTCAAGCAACAACAGCAGCGACAAAACGAATCTCCTTGCCGATATCGAATTAATCAAATTCAAGGAGCAGAATATTTCCTACTACAAAAGGTTTTACGCAAACAAAAGTATCTACTGTGTTAACTCCTTTAAGAAGTGGATTTACTTCGGCAGCATCAACAACAATTGCTACTTGTATAACAATTTTGATGACGACCTGAGGAATTTCGCCCACCAGGGGGGTAGCGGCGTTAACGGGGTTAGCAGCTCCGTGGAGGGTGACCGAGTCAGCGGGAAAATCAGCCTACAGCACCTGAAGCACCAGAAGTACACAGACACGGTGACAAACATCAAATTTTCAAAAAACTACAAATATATCGCCTTGTGTATATACAATGGAGACATCTACATTTACAACAATAATAATATGAACAGGTCAGAAATTTTGAATTACAATATTACCAATTTTAAGCAGAATATTAACAACAGTAACTCGCTGCTTCATATTTATAATTGGAATGTCCACTTGAGTCATTTTAAAAAAGAAGAGGAATGGATTACTGAGGACATGAATTTTGTAAACATCCTTACTATTAACGATACGAATGATAAGAAGGATATTGAGTACTTCATGTTTTGTCCTTTTAATGAGGAGATCCTTTTAAGCATTTACCTGGACTCTCCAAATATATACATATGGAACATTCATCAGAACAGCCCCATTAGCATTACGTACACGGTGGCTATTCCAACCTTCATCAACATCTGCAATTATGATAGCAGCTTTTATCTCATTGCTGGGTTCCACAGTGGCGAGACTCACGTGTATGATTATAACGTCTACAATTTAAGGAGGCGAAATGAGGGTAGGAAATATGAGTCCAGGACTAGGAGTGAGGGCAGCGGTGTGGAGGGCGGCAGACAACACCCCTCCGCGATTGGCAACTACAGCATTAGAGTGACTCCCGAGGGGTGCAACGGGAGTGTGGCGTCGCATCAGTGTCAGCGGCATCCTGGGCAGGAACCGCACCTTCCGCAACAGATCATGCACGAGGAGCTCGACAACAGCAACGACGTTCTCTGCATCGACAACAACCTCGCGAACGAAATTTACGTGGCGACGCACCGAAACGTGATTCAGATCTGCAGCGTCAACAACAACAGCGTCATCAGTACGTACCATAATCTGCACAGCGACCTCGTAGATTACTGCCTCTTTAACAATAAGCGCAACAACATTTTCGCTTCCTCCTCCCTCGACAATAGCATCATTGTGTATGACTACCACTGCAAGAAGTGCATTAATAAGTTTATTGTGAATTACGATTTTACTAAGGTCGACACAAACAACCAGATGGAGAAAGGAATCAACTTCCTCAAATGGATTAATACGAATTTGCTGCTTTTCTCAAGCCTCAATGGGAATATTTACATTTATGACATTCGCTCGAGGCAGTGCATCCACCAGTTTTACAGCCACACGGATACCATCTTCAACGTGCACTTGTCCCTGCACCTGTATGATCAGAAAAACATCCTCTCCATTCTTACCGCCAGCGACGACCGCTCCTCGAATATGCACTTCCTCGACATCTCCGCGTTTATCTAGCGGGGGAGCGAAGGAGCGGAGGAGCGGCGAGGATGAAGGGGTAGCTCAATCGCGGCATGGCCCAATAGCGGCATAGCAGAGTATCGTAGTAGCGACGTAGCGCCTTAGCGGGTTGCTACTTCCGCGCTGCGGGACGCGGTGAAGTTTGGACGGTGCGACGCCTGCGGGTTTCCCCGGTGCAGTGTCCTTCCAGTGTGTAACTCCTTTTTTCCGTGTTTGTTCGCCCTCCAGTGTGTAGCCTGTTCTTTGTAACGTCTTTCCCGTTGAGTACGCCCCCCCCCAATGAGAGGGGAGCGCGGGCTATCCCTTGCCATTTGATACATGCCATTTGCTATTAACAATGTGTTACACACCATTTGATACCTACATTTGTTCTCATATTTGTGTCCATATCTGTGCCCACTTTTTTTGTGCCCGCATATTTGTGCCCACACTTGTGACCACATCTGTTGCTTACCATTTGTTGCCTACCATTTTGTTATTGGTCACTTGGCCATTGTCATTTGTCAGTTTGATCCTGCGTGAGAATCGTGTGTCCTTCGTAAAGTATTCCTCGTTCGTTCCTTTTTTGTTCTTCCGTTTTTTGTGTTCTCCTTTTTTGTTCTTCCCTTTTTAGTGTTCCCCTTTTTAGTGTTCCCCTTTTTAGTGTTTCCTTTTTCGTAACGTATCCGTTCGCCCATTCTGCACCCCCCACGCCCGTCGTCCAACGCTCTTGCTATCACCCGTGTGCACATGGTTCTCTTCTCGCCTGTGCTGCGCGTGGTGCGTCCCCCTCGCTACCCCGTCGCCACGTCATCGCCATTTCATCGCCACGTCATCGCCATTTCATCGCCATTTCATCGCCACGTCATCGCCATTTCATCGCCACTTCATAGCCACTTTCTCCCCACACCTGCGTGATGAACTTTTTTTGTGTCACCTAGTTGACTAGCTTATCGACGCATTAACGAGTATAAAAAAAATCCAGCCAAAGATAAGGAAAGGATAAGGCAAAAAAAGGAAAAGATAAGGCAACGGTAAGACTGCGCTATGCAGGCGAAAAGCAACCCTCATCGGCGGCATACCCAATGGGAATGCTAAATGGGAAGAATGCCTCGCTGCCCCGTACCCCACATGGCTTCCCCTCTTCCCCTATCTCGTTCACTCCGCGCACACGTAACACGACTGCGGGATGTGTTGGAAGAAGCTCGCCTTGAGGATATACATCAGAATCGAATACGCCTCGACGACGCCCAGGGGCTTCTCTCCATTGTTTACCAATTTGACATAGTAAACTCGGTCGAAGGTTCTGTCGTCATTTGAGGGGGCAATGTTTGGCCCAATGTGCACATAGCTGTTGTGCACCACCGGGTGATCCTTCTCAATGTTGTTGCAGTTGTCAAGGAGGAGAAATACCCCTTTCGCTTTGGCCAACAAATTTAAGAAAGGCTTCACTTCCTCGGAACGGCTTCCACCGTAGTGGACATACAGATCGCCTCCATCGTCGCAGACGCTTTCCTGTTGGCGGTCCTGATTTCTTCCCTCCGTCCCCCCGATGCTGTACTTAAGGAGGAGTATTTTATTTTCTCGTGCATATTTGTGGAGCTCGGTGAAGGTTACTCTCTTGTAGGGGATGTCTAGCAGATGACCCGCCGAGGCGCGCATCGTCAGAGGGTGGAAGAAGTCGATGTTGTAAATGTCGCTTATGTTTGGCTTCTTCCGGATAGCACCACGTGGAGTGCTTACATTCGGCCAATCCGTCTTCTCCCCCGTTGGTGATACTACTTTGCTGCCCTTCCCCCTCTGCATATGGCCCAGTCCTTCCACGTTAAAAACGCACTGCCACTTGAGCAGGAAGCAGCTCCGGATGAGGGTCCCAATGTCGCCGTTGCAGAGAAGTTCAGTGGATATCAGCGGCGGGGAGGTTGTTCTAGGAAAGAAGTGGGTCGCAACATTGGGGGGATCCCCGTCCCCTGAGTGCTCCGCTTCTACGCCGCTCTTTCCACTTCTCCCTCCCCCGCGGTTCACCTCGTAGAAGCACAGGGCCAGGCGGGGGAGGCCCACGTCATCGTACTGGAACGTGTGCGCGACTTCAGCTAGGACGCCGTTTTTAAAAGAATAAAGAAAGGCAAGCCGTTTGAGTAGTTTGTTGGACAAAAGTATAAAATTGTCAAAGCAGCGAAAATCCTTCAAATTTTCAATGCTGTTCGTGTAAATGCGTGCAATGTGATTTTTTTCCCTCTCCAGGATGATTTTCTTCGAAGTCAATAAGATTTTCTGTTGCTTTTCTCGATATTTCTTATCCGTGGCTAGCTTGTACAGGTGGATAAAAATGGGGTGGTTTTGTGACTTTATTATTTTCACCTTTTTGGAGGAAAAAAAGATTTTAAAAAAATGATCATTTTTTTTCTTCTCACTGATAGCTATGTTGTTGTGTTTGGTTAAGTTCAGCATGTTATTTATGTTTTTTTCCTGTGTGCATTCGATGGAGGTGTCCGCTTCTTTCCGCACAACAGACAAGTGGTTAGCTTTGCGTGTTATCAGTCCATGCGGTTTCTTCGATACTGGGGGGGCCCCATTTGGGAAGCCTCTGCCTGTTTCCACTTCTTCATTTTTCTCGTTCATCTGGATTTTCCCTCCAGATTGACTTCTTACCAACGAGAGAAGTTTCGCTTCGCCCATTTGGTTTATTGGGCTCTTCTGCACATCATCGGAGGTAGTACTTCTCCCACTCGTCACCATGTCACCGTTTTTTTTTTTCCTGCTGTCCCTGCTACTTCGTCCTCCAGGGAGAAGCCTATGTTCCAGCAATATTTTGTCGTATATTTCCTTCGTCACTGCGTCGTCATCTGTTTGGATGGATGGTAAACTGGCTGGGGGGTCAACCCGTGGATGTTGTTTCGCGGCATCTCCACTTGGGTTCTGTGCGTCTCTAGGTTTCTTCGCCACATGTTTACTTCTCTCGTCCACATTTCGTAAATTTGGTGCAGGTTCCTCCCCCCCTGCCGTCGGGGGTCTCGCCCCCAGGGAGGACACTAATCTGACCATCCCACCCATCCGGACCACGCCGCTGTTCCTTCCTACCAGTCGGTTCAGCGATAGCAGGTATTCTTGGCTACGCCTAATTCCGCAGCACGACATGGTGGGCGTGGTGAAGCTGGTGCTAACAAGGGGGGGGGAGAACTCCCTTTCATAAAAACGGAGTTAAAAAAGGGGGTGTGCGTTCTACGCGTATTCTCTCACCTTTGCCTTTCCTCAACATGGTGGACTGCCTTCTAAAAGAAGGAGAGACTATGGACACGTTTGATGACAGCGACGCAAGAATCACTTCGGAGGCGAGGTACGCGTGGGTGCTGCTATGCAGCTGTTCGGCTGCACGGCTGTGCAACTCTGCGGCGGTGTAGAAAAGGGCACAGCGGGGAAGCCAAAAAAACAAAAAAAAAAAAAAAAAAAAAAAAGGGACACTCCGCCATACCATTCGCACAAGTGACTTGACAAAAAGGTATACCCACCCCGGCCCGCTTACAATTATATGCACCCTGCTTGGGGAATCCATCTCTGTGTACGTCGCGGCAGGTTCCCCACTAGCACTAGGAGTTACCTTTTCTCACTTTTGCGTACAAGGCCGGTAGGGAAATACGCCTTGGCCGTGATGGGCCTCTTACGTGAAAAGGCAAAATGGGAGGTGTAGGCCGAAAGGCCATCGCGATAGCAGTCACAGTTGACAACGCTGCCACAGTTGACGACGCTGCCATAGTTGACGCCGCTTCGACATTTGACGACGCTGCCATAGTTGAGGCCGATGCCGTACTTGGCACACTTTTCAACTTTAAAATGGCTGGCATGATCGGAGATCGCACACCGAGAGGTACTCACACACAAAGGGGGGAGAGTTTCAAACTGGGGGGTAGGTTTCCCTCAAATGAGGCAGAATTGGGGAAATCGCTTGCCCTGGTCAGGCAACGGCGTGGAGAGGAAAAAAAAAAAAAATAAAAAATAAATAAAATAAAAAATAATAGCAATTGCAATAGTAATAATAAGAGGAAGGGGAAACAATGCGGACGGAGAGGCCCTTCCCTCCGATGGGCTTTAAAGGGCACTTAAAAGGGAGGGGGGCAAATGGGGGAGTGTAAAAATTGTGACGTGGTGATGTGGAGACATTCTGACGTGACTAGATGCTGACATGGTGATGACGTGGCGATGCGAGCCGCCGCCTAGTGCAGGGGGCAGAGACACACCTGGAGACGGCCGCCAAGGGCCCTGGAGATGCTATCGTGGGAACTCCTCTTGCTGCGTTGGGCGTCGGGCTCCACGGGGGAGGGGCCCCCCCCCTTCGGCGGGCGCGTTGATTCTGCCGTGCCCCCTGCTGCGGATGCGACTGCTCCTACTGCTGTGGCTGCTCCCCCTCCTCCCATCTTCCTCATGGTGGACTTCTTTCGAAGAAAGGTCTCCTCCGTGGCATTATTAACAGTCGACATTCTACAATAGGAAAAGGTCTTCCCCAATCGGTAGTATCCCGATTTTATCAAAACTAGAATAACGATTATGACGATGAGGTAAATTATTGCAAGGAGGAAAAAGGAGTAAGCTAACTCATACGCGCTGTTTCCTACAGCTCGCAAGGAGACTAATTGGAATGATTTCGTTGCCTTCCAGTCTTTTGCAGGCCACGTATTCTGTGTGAATTCAATTTTGTATGTCTCCCCAGGTAGGAGGTCTTCATAAATCACTCCATAAGGCTTAATAAACGAAGAAGTCATAGGGGGGTGAAACCAATTCTTATAATCGGGCGAAAACGTATTAATCCAGACCTTATAATTTGAGACATATTTTTTGTGCTTCTTTATGTAGGAGAAAAAATCGTAATAATTCAGAACAGGGAATTTATCAATATCGAAGATTTTCTTATTTTGGGAAAGTCTAATTTTGTCATTAAAGATGGAAGCGGAGACTAATCCACAGGGGAACACCTTCCTCCCTTTCTGCTCTTCGGGGATCGAATTCACATCGCATGTTTCCTTGCTGCTTAGGCTTCCTGAATTGATACCCCCACCATGAGTACCCAAATCGTTTTTTATTTCAGGAAGGGTCTGCAGATTATTAACGCATCTATATTTATAGAGATCCTCATACGTCTTGATATAGTTGCACTTATTGTCATTAACCAAGGATTGCGATTCATCTGAGAGGAAGTTTTTAAAGTTGCTATAGAAGTTACTTATCTTGTAGTATACATATACTGGCTGCTTCATCTCGTGCTTGATGGAAAAGGTCTTCATTTCATCCCCTGAGTCGTAATCAATGTTGACTTCTATTACGTGACTTGATTCATAATAAATGAAGAAGCCAATCAGGGCAAAGGAGATGGACAAAATGAAGAGAATCACCACAGCTACGTTCCATTTGTACACATGATGAAATTTTTTTATTTTTTTTAACTCCTGTTGTTTGAATGCCTCTATAAATTTGTTATACCTGTTTTCGTTAAATATGAATGTTTTTTTTTTTCTGAAAAATAGAATATCACTTTTTTTTTTTTCCAAAGTTGGGATTTTTACCCAATCTGTTGCGCCTCCCCCTGGGGTGCCATCTTCTTCCATTGAGCTGTTTTTCGAGAGCAGCTTTGCGTCGAAAGATACGGCCTTTTTGTTTCTGTTTAGTTTCTCGGGGGGGGGCGGCGATATCGCCGCTGTTTGGGACTGCCCTGTTTGGTGTGACTGCACTATTTGCTGCTCTCCCTCCTGCCCCTCGTCCGGCGCGCGGCCATGCACGGACACGACCACGCAGCGGCCCCTCCTCTTCACGGAGCTCAGAATATCATCGCATGCGCGGCTGTTAACCGAGATGAGCTGGAACTCTCTCTCTGTCTCCGGGGTGTCCATCGGGGGGAAGGTGCTACACGTTGGGAGGTCCTACCGTTTGAGTCCTCGCTACGACACTGCTAGGAGCCTACTATGAGGGTACTACTCCCCAATTGGCCAGAGATCCCCTGGGAGCGAAGCGCGCACGATTTTGTCTACGCCGCATGAACGGGTCAGCCAAACGAGCTCGCAAAAAATGGCTAATTAAAAAAAAAGCAATGTGATTTGCAGAGGGGAGTTATCGAATCATGGTCACTTGGTGGCGCGGCGGTGGGGAGGGGCGCCGATGTGTCAATCTGCCAAAGCGCCAATGTGCCGATGCGCCTGTACAACGCTCCAACTTCGCCCCACAATGGAACACTAAAAAAAAAAAAAAAACACTCGGGGTGAGCACAACGAGTACAGATCGGGACGCTAAACGGATCACTCTCGGGAATGGACAAAATTGTGCAACGGCGGACGACATCAAATGGGCTGGGGACACATTTCGATGCATTTAAAATGGAGTGAAAAACAAATCATACAGTCGGTGGGAAAAACTAATGTGGGTACGTCTCCAAGGGTGAAGACTACAGGGGGGAACAATCGAAGGTTGGCTACTCGGTAGGGATTGTACTTCACACCTAGACGGCTAGCCTGAAGTGGATGTATGCCCCCACGGGTTGCGCCTCTGTACACTGCGAATTATGCTTCGCTACCTAGCGCCCTTAAACGCGACAAATACATCTTTACGCTTCATTTGGGCTTCACAAAATGGCGTATGATATGCCTCGGTCGAGCCGCTCACAGTAACGCATGCCCTTCCCACACGGAGGTAACATGCATACAAAGGAGGCGGTCCCGGGGGAGCCGTTAAAACAAGCTTTCACTCTTTCACTCGTTTTTTATTTACTTCTTCTGGGCGCGCTTCGGCACGCAATGCAATCATGAGGCGTTCGCAATAGAGGGGGGAGCTGGGCCACACACTTCCGCGACTTCAGCGACTTCCCTTGCCCTGTTTCTCACATGCAAAATGATATATCCAAAGGTGTCCATAAAACGCGGCGATTCTCTTCAAATGAAGGAAAAAAAACAAAAAAACAAGAAAAACGAATGGATGGAAAATTGCCTACCCAATGGGCGACCTAGCGATACTCCCGCTACAGAAAAAGTAAATACCCTCGTAGTTGTTTTAACACCTCCCCCTTAGCCTTTTTTGTTGGCGCAAGAAGGAAAAAAAAAAAAAAAAACTATGCAGCATCTTTTGCACACGTGTACGTAGCATTTTTTTTCTTTAAAGTGGCGTTCGTGGAGTTACAGATGCATCTGCGTTTTTAGTGAATAGCCGGAGGTAGCCGCGTTGACCAGGCCTAAATTATGGGAAAGCTTCGGTAACTTCAGATTCGAGGCTGGAAGGGGGCGAATCGAAGCGACAAAAAAGGGATTTTATTTTTTTTAGCCGCCTGTTGCGCCTTGGTAATTCTTTCGCGCGTGTTTATTTCAGCGTGCCGCTTGGACTCCGCTGCTTTACTTTTGCATTACGATGGTTCCCTCTTTACCCTTGCTGGCTGTTCCTCTTTCCTTCCAGTTTGTCCCGTTTCGCAGCGCCAATTGGTAGACCCAGCGGGGGGGCTTTTCATTCATTTTTCACCCGCGTCGTTTAACCTCCCCCCCTGTGTGATGAAATTAATTTAGCATGATAGGTGTAGCTTGGGCTGTGAACCTTTCAAGCGAGGCAAGTTACGCCACAGGTGACGCAGCAGGTGACGCAGAAAATCCCACCGCTGACTCAAACGTGTCCTTCGATCCAAAGTGTGCTCTCAAGTGTTTAATCGAATTGTAGGCTTCCTCTCAAGAGCGTGTTTTTTTTTTGAAAAAAACTCCTAATGCTGCTTCGGTGTGCTTCCCAACACTTCCATCGGAGGAGTGCGGGGAAATGGTCAAGGGGTAAAGTAAATCGCCAAAAATGTGCACGTCACGATGATGGGTGCCACCTAAGTGGGAAGCAGAACTGCACTCAAATTGGCGTAACGCCCCTGTTGGCAGCTACTCACTCGAGCGGGTTATCCCCCATGAGGGAGGTACACATATATGCTCGGATTTTCCAAGGATTAGAAAAAGTATCGTACACCAGCTGCGTGGTGTAGAAATGGATGTTATAGGTGTGTCCCTCTGCGTGGTGATTTATTCAGAAAGTAAAAGGAATTTCTGTATTTTTTTTTTTTTTTAACTTTTTTGGGGTTATTCCCAATCAGCGGTGTCACCTTTTTTTATAAAGCGGTATGGGACAAGCCGCTTGGTCGTTCAATTGGGGCCTTTTCTGCTCTGCATGGTACATTTCGTAGTCACGTATGAAGTGGCAATTCATACTGGCCCTTCCACCGAGCTGCTTCTGCTGATGATGATCATGATAATTATCTTTTTCCTTCTCTGGGTATACCTCGTTTGAATGTGCTGCCTTTTTTTTTTTTTTTTTTTGGAGCTCTTCTCTTCGCACATAAAATGCAGCTGAAGGCTGGACAGCAGCAGAAGGCATGAGCTATACACGCTGTACTGCACGGTCACTCTCGCCAAGTCGACAGTACCGTCAGGGTGACTAATCCCGTGCGTCACTACTTGCGCGTTCGCTTCCGGATTGGTCGTCTCCTCATCCGCTGCGTTATTTGTCCCCTGGTTTTGCTTCATTATGAGAAATCGGGCAAATAACACTACGCGGCACCAATGATGAGATGTGTGGGGGGGTGTATCCTTGCATGCTGCTTCGGTTACGTGACCAATTCGTTCAGCTTTGCCTTTTCCGTTTAGCCGCTTCCCGTTTGGTGGGGAATGATCGATGGCGATGGAACAATCTTCTCGCGCGAGAGGCCTCTCCTTACACGAGGGCACAAAAAATGAGGCAATTATTCTTTGTCTACAGAGAAATCGCGCGAAGAGAGAAAAAAAAAAAAGCCATCCCAGCAGTACCACGCTGCCGCTACGCCGCTACACCGATACACCGTTTGGCCCATCCGCGGCGTCCTATGGGCAAGCGCAACGAGCGAGAAGACCGGCGGAAGTATGCCACCGCTGGGGGGAAAAATCCCCCTACACACACAGGCCTATATGCTACGTGCAAACATGCGGCATGGTAACTACAGGTGCAAAATTGGCCGAACCGGGAAAAAATAAAGATGCCTATATCGCCATTAAATGGAGAAATAAAAAATGTTTGCGAAGGTAAAAGTCACGCCTGGGTAACTTTAATAGTTTTGATGGAGAAAAATGATGCCATATTAAAAGAAGCAAAAGATGCGCAAAAGAAGCGCAAAAGGAAGCGCAGAAGAAGCAGAACCAATACAAAAAACAACCCCCTTGAATTCCACGTCGCACCAAATCCCCCAAATGCACCAGCCAAAAAATGAGAAAAAAAAAGATTGTATTCCCTGTGGGTAGCTCTTCACCACGATGTGGGGTGAAGAATCTTCCTCCCGTATGCTCCCACGGCGGGTAAAAAAAAATTGTAATTTTAATGTAGAGGACGGAGAGGTAATTCTATTTTAACCCCCTCTTTTTGCATTTATTCGTTGTTTAACAGAATATGAAGAAAAACAGAAAAGAATGGGGCTGCACCCTTGCGGTGAGGGAGCCCCCTCGATGTCGGCCCTGGCTGTTATGCCATGGTCGCACTGCCGCGTCGCCACGACACCTCCTCACAATTTAAGCACGTAACAGCTTAACCACTTGACCACTTAATCACTTCACCGTTGCACCACTTAACCACTTAACCACTTCACCGCTGCACCACTTTGACGAAATGCTGAAGGAGCTCTACTTTTATCTCCAACCCTCTTCCTTCGAGAGGATCCTCGTCGCCACATCGCACCCTGCAATTTCATGCATACGTCAGCGGCATGGCAAAAAAAAAAAAAAAAATTACACCTACATTGACAACATTTTTATTTTCACTGTTAAAAAGAAGTCACACGCTTCTTAGAAGGTAACTCCAAAACCACATCAGAATTTTTGACGGCATCCCCCTCTGCACAACCGGTAACGCGTACACCTTCCACAGTTCTAAAAGTTAGTCGCCCTTTTTCGTGAAGAAACGCCGATTCTAAAAAAAAAAAAACTCCCAAAAAAGCTTCAAAAAAACTGAAAAAAAACTGCAAAGAAACTGAAAAAAAATTCCAACGAATCTGCAAAAAGTTTGCAAAAAAGCTGCAAAAAAACAGCTGTGTAACCCCCCACCGATAAAAAACAACTCTGAGAACGTAAAAAGTGTACCCCCCCCTCTACAAAGCCCAAAATGAACATCCTGCAAGAACCCATTGACTTCCTCAAGAAGGATGAGCTTAAGAACATCGACCTATCCCAGATGAGCAAAAAGGAAAGGTACAAAATATGGAAGAGAATACCAAAGTGTGAATTACACTGCCATCTGGATCTCACCTTCTCCGCAGACTTCTTCCTCAGCTGCATTCGAAAATATAATTTACAGCCCAATTTATCTGATGAGGAAGTGCTAGATTATTATTTGTTTGCCAAAGGAGGCAAGTCTTTAGGAGAGTTTGTCGAGAAGGCAATAAAAGTGGCAGATATATTTCACGACTATGAGGTTATTGAAGATTTGGCCAAACATGCCGTGTTTAATAAATACAAAGAAGGAGTTGTCCTGATGGAATTTCGTTATTCTCCAACCTTTGTTTCTTTTAAATACAATCTGGACATTGAGCTCATTCACCAGGCTATCGTGAAGGGGATAAAGGAAGTCGTGGAGCTGTTAGATCATAAAATTCACGTGGCTCTCATGTGTATTGGAGACACAGGTCATGAGGCAGCAAATATTAAAGCATCTGCTGATTTCTGCTTAAAACATAAGGCAGATTTTGTAGGGTTCGATCACGGAGGACATGAAGTGGATTTAAAACCATATAAAGAGATTTTCGATTATGTCAGAGAAAGTGGTATTCCTCTTTCGGTTCACGCAGGGGAAGATGTGACTCTCCCAAATTTGAACACACTCTACTCAGCTATACAAGTGCTTAAAGTGGAAAGAATTGGACACGGTATTAGGGTTGCTGAATCGCAAGAACTAATCGATATGGTTAAGGAGAAAAATATTTTACTCGAAGTTTGCCCCATTTCAAATGTGCTGCTGAAAAATGCAAAGTCCATGGATACACATCCTATTAGAAAATTGTACGATGCTGGAGTGAAGGTCTCCGTCAATTCGGACGATCCAGGAATGTTCCTCACCAACATCAATGACGATTACGAGGAGTTGTACACTCACTTGAATTTTACCCTCGAAGATTTTATGAAGATGAATGAGTGGGCTCTGGAGAAATCCTTCATGGCTTCAAACATAAAGGACCAAGTAAAGAAGCTCTACTTTTAAGTATCTCCGCTTCGAGGGAGAGATGCATGTACCTCTGAGGGAGCAGAGGAAAGGGGAGTGCCCGCTTGGAGCTATACCCACCCAAGTGAAGAACGCTCTGCTTTTACCCCACCTCTGTGGGTAGCTTCTTTAAATCGTTCAACTCTCCTCCCATCCGCTTCTTTCTTTACACAATAACGTTGACATAATTTCACCGCACGAAGTGTTTTAAAAAAGTGCACAACTGGGAATTCATCCCTGTATGTGTGTCCTTTGTGCGCTTTTAAAAACAGAACATTTTTAACCCGTTGCAAAAGGGAAACTGACACTACCGTTTTTACTTTCTGAATTTACGACAAATGGACAGAGGGACAGCATCAGGCATGCGTCCAAGGGTGTTAAGCAAGTTTCGCCTCGAGCGCAGTCGCCCAACGGATAAAAGAAAAAAAAAAAAACATAAATGCGAGAAGGTTATCTTCTGTCTGCCTCTACGGTATGAGGCACGTACCACGCACAGTTGCCTCTTCCGGGCGCGCAATGGTACGCCCCCGGTTGTTTTGCGAAAAAGCCCACAATCATTGCATCATTAGGGCGTTTATTTCAAAATTAACGTTGCCTTGGCGCAGCATGCATAAATCAGGTAAATTTTAAGCAAATTGGTTAAAATGGCTAGTTTGATGGGTTTTTTTTTTTTTTTTTTTTCAAACGATTGAACGGTCAGGCGAAATGGAACACTGTTGCCCATTTTAGCTAGCTGTGTGGAACTGTATAAAACAGAGTGGGTACCTTCCCCGGAAGGCTTTGCATGGTCTATTCGAAATCATCGTGGGGCTGGATTGTCTCCATGAAGAAATCACTGCTCTTCCTTTCCCGCTTCTTCCTTGCTCCTGCGTGCGGCGCTTTGGCCAATTTGTTCGGACCATAGGCCTCGTTGTCGTGGGTGGCGCCGGTCAACCTGTTCTCCCTGCCGGTCCTGTCCACCTTTCCGTCCGTTTTTGCACTACTACTTGAACCATTCTTTTGCCTATTTTTTTCCCCATTTTTTGCGCCATTTTTTCCTCTCATCTTCGCCTTCATCTCGTCTCTGTGGTTCCTCCTGCGCAGCAAGTGCTGGAGTTCCGCCCTGTCCGCGTGCCGTCGGCGCGCCCTGGACAAGTTGACCCCCCCAGAGAGGTGCCTATAGTATTTGAGCGCGCCGCCCGACGAGCCATGATTTCCTTTTTTGTACTTCTTATGTCTGAAGGGGAAGGAGAACTTCAGCTTCTTATGAAACAAGTACTTGTACAAAAGGAATGCTAAAATGATGACCAAGATAGGGATGACCGTGCAGCATATAATGAACCAGTAGTTTCCCCCACTTTGCGGATAAGTGTGCACGTTGTAATTTTTCTCCACCATATCTTCAGGGTATATCCTCTTGGAAAATAAAATCTGCGCATCCCAACCGGTGAGGTAATGAACCCTATGCTTAAAGAGGGAGAACATTTTAACGGCTGAGTATATATTCTTTCTACTATTTAATGGCAGGGAGCTATAATTGTGAAATGCTATTTGGCTCAGTTTATATCCCTCATGGATTAATTGCTCGATGGCTAGGATTTCCCTTTTGTTAATTCTGGATCCAAAATGCTTCGTCCTCCTTTTAACGTTATTTATTGGGTCGTTATAGGACTCCCCCATGACTTCGATTAGTTCCTTGTTAACTTTTTTTTCATCATTATAGGAAAATCCTTTTAGCGAATTTGAGTAGACTGGCTTGGTTAGCAGTTCAGCAATGGCACTCTGCATCAGTTTGTATTTATTTTCGGGGAGGCTTTTCATCAGGATGATGAAGAAGACGGTTTGGTCGTTCATAAGCTCCAGTTGTGTCTTTTTAAATTCTTCGATTCGTTTTGTGTACTCATTCGGGGGTGCGGAATTGAGGTGGTTCCTCCATGCGACACGTCTGGAGAAACCTCCTTTGGGGCCGCCTCTCGAAAGACCTCCTTGTGCGGCACCTCTCAAGTGACCTCCTTGTGCGGCTCTGCGCAACTTCCCGCCCTTCGCGATTCCCAGCAAGTTGTCCACCACGCCTCTGTTTGCCATATCTGCCCTGTTCGCCCCATCCGCCATATCTGCCCTGTTCGCCTCGTCCGCCATGTCTGCCCTGTCTGCCTTGTCCTTCCCATCAGCCCCGTAGTTGAAAACCCCATAGCTGAAGACCCCCTTACCGTTTTTGTTCTCCACGTAAAAGACCTTTTTCATCAGCATCACTGCCTTGGAGAAGTAATTCTCGCCGAAGTGCAAATAAGAGTTGAGGACGAGCTCGAATTCGATCAGGGTGAGTAGATTTCCAATGGGGAAGAGGAGACCATTTTCAGGGGCCTCTCCCCCCGGGGTCCCCATCTCGACCTGCACAAACAGGTTCTTCCCCGTTAGCATCAAAACGCACTTCTCCAAACAATCTTCTGTAAAAAACAGACCAAAATCCCTGACGCGAAGAAGTTGCCCACTTGTTTGGTCCAGGTACAAATACCCATTTATCGTAAGGGAGATCAAATTTGCCACGTCCAACTTTATTTCATTTTCTCCATTTGGACTAAAAGAGCTATTATGTAATAAATGCCTCCTGTAGGTTTGTATGCTTTTTTTAATCACCTGCATCAGGGCGTCACTCATCACATGCGTGAATCTTTCGTGTCCATACGTCCTTAAAATGTGTACCAATTTGGTGGCATCTTCTATGTGCAAAATGATAACTTCGCTTCGGACATTGTTTGCGACAGAAATGGTTTCCAGGCTATTCAGGTATATTCGATATTCTCTGAGCATCCCGACATCCTTGCTTAGGTTTATCAATTTGAGGTTACCTTCCTCATTGCAATTCTGTATTTGTAGCATGTCCGTAAATAGAAGCTTCGAGTGTAGTGCATAGTTTACGGCGTACATAATGCAACTGCTGCATGTTACTGGTATGGTCTTTTTTGGTAGGCCATTCAACACAGACATGGTACAACTCCGCGTGCTCAGCGCTCTGCAACCGTCTTCCTCCCTCCAACATTCATTGGTGATTAATTCCATCCAGGTGAAGTAGTTTTCGTTTCCGCTCCTTATGTCATTCAGGAGGCTATTCATCTGAGGGGGAGAGACGTCATGTGAAGGGAAAAAAAAAGATGTGAGATTGCTGTGAAGGGAAAATAACATGGGGGTCAGATACACACACTTCTCCAGTTGGACAAGAGACACACGTGCCGATCCAACTGGGGCACGAGAGAGAGAGAAAATAAAAAAAAAAGGTCTCTTCAAATGGGTAAGCGTATGCCGCTACAGGGTCTCTCCCCAGTTTGGAAGAAGCACATGTGGGGGGTATTGTCCCCCCAAATTAGGGCTCCAAATGTGATGGAACAATTTTTATTGAAGAGTTATCGAAAGCCCTGCGCTTATCTCTTTTTTCATCCGATTCTCTCTACTTCGCTCCTTTGAGCATCCGGGGAGAGTCGGTGAAGCCAACTAGCCATTCTGCGTAAGACTTACCCCCGAAATGACATGACGGACATCCTGGACAGTATACCCCCTCTGTTCCTTCGCCCGTTCTTCTGTGGCCACCTCTTTGGTGAGAAGATATATAGCCCCATCAATGACTTTTCCATATTTTTCCTTCAGTGAGAGAGGACCCAGGAAATGGGGGACTTCCAGCTGCACAAGCAGGAGGAAGGCCACCAGGACGTTGTCGTTCAGGCTGGCCAGGCCGCCTCGGGCGTTCTGGGCGCCCCGCACGTTGGTCTGCAGGAAAGAGAAAAAAAAGAACACGTATGTATATATTTACATGTACATATTTATATGTATATATTTACATGTACATATTCATATGTATACACATTCGAGCGGTCTTTCCAGGAGGCGAATGGGTGTGCCTCCAACCAAGGGGGACTCTGTAGCGCATGTGGCACGGGAGAGGGTGGGAAAAGCTGCAACCCTGAAACGGTTTACATTCCAGGGGAAGTTCCACCCCAGTCCACTATTGTCTCATGCTCCTTACTGGGTTGAGACACGTCACTACGAAATACAAAACCGCAACATATTGGAGCAGGCGGTGTGTCTTCATCCTTGTCTTGTTTCAAGCCTGAGGAGCGAAGCCCTTAATTGCGCTCAATTATGCGGCATTTACGCTGCATTTACGCGACAGTCACACAACAATCACACAGCAGTCATGCGACAGCGAAGGGACAGAAAAGGGGCTCTCACGTGACCGTCATGTTTTTTTTTTCCCCCTCTTTTTGTCATTCATTTGGGGAAAGAGAAACCATTTGCAGTGTTCCATGTCCATTGATGTGGGTGTGGCATCTCTTCGGCATGCGCTCAGCGTGTGTAGCAACTGGCTCCAGTGACAACATAACCATCGCGTGGAATGGCATCATTTCTATGAACGTATATCTGTATAACACGTGAGCCTGTTTATGTTTTACGCAATATTTGCGAGGGCGCCATTTCATTGTTTCCCCCCAATGCGGGGTTTGCAACTGTCTTTTGCGCTGCGCCCCTCCCGATGTCCACTGCCAGCAGCGCATTTTTCTCCCTCGAGAATCTGCATGTAGAACAGCCGTCCAAGCAGTGAGCAACCCTCGAGCGTGTAACTTCCAGACGCACATAAAATTCTGGATCCCCAAAAAGGTGTCTTAAATGTATGAAAAAAAAAAGAAGCAATTGCCCAACGGGTTATGCACAGTAGGGAATTTTATTCTTGTCATTTTTGTCCGGTTATGTGAGTTCCTTTTTTTTTTTTTTTTTTTTTCCTTTTTTGGAAAAAGTTGCCTCCCTCGCCACAGCGCCCGTTCGAGTCGTCCTTTTTAATGGCGCTAAATTTGATATTACAAAAAAATTGGGACCTCTCCGCGCGCGGCGTTAATTACGGAGGGGTGGGGGAAGTTCACAAGTGGGAAGGTTCCGAAGTGGGAAAGTTCAGAAATGGGGAAGCTAACAAATCCGCCCATTTAGGCACTCCCCTCATGGTGTGCGACGCGCTCAACGCGAAAGGAAAAAATGGCAACACGTTGAAGAAAGATGACCGCCAAAAGGGGGAGCTACCTCGATGGCATTCTCGCGTGGGCGAAGTAATCTGACGGGATTGGCTCGAGGTTAAAAAAAGGAAAGACAACTGCGCGGGATGGTTGCCGCGGGGGAAGGGACCTTTCCCATTGGCCAACATACTTATGAGTTAATCTGAATGTGAGCGTGTGGGTATATATGTGTTTATCGGGGGAGCAAACTGTCAATGCGGATGTGACTTCTCCCTCTTGGGGCGCAGGTACAAATGGCGCTACCTCACAGCGTGAGGCGTATCCTTTCCTGGCTGTCCACCTTCTGCTGCGCCTTCCGAATTTTATACGCCTTCAATTGGTTGAGCTTATTTTTAATTTCGTCTGCCGAGATGGGTGGCATGTGGGTTAGGGTTTTCCCGAAGGGGTCTTTCTCCCTCTGGGCCTTTACATACTTCACTTTCTCATCCAAGTTATCGCCAAGCTCCAACCAATCGAGCCAGACAATTCTCCTGATGTTCCATCCCAAGTCGTAAAGAATCCTATGTTGCAGCTTTACACTTTCTATGTACTGATTTGTGGAGGTATAAAAGCAGGCAGGTCCATCCACAAACCAGCAGTTTCGTTTTTCATTCATCTCACCAATGTCTATATAGTAACATCCCCAAAGAAAGGTGTTCCTATGGCTCACGCCTAATTTGGCTAGACAATCAGAAACTTCCCATTGGAATTCGGATGGCTTTCTTCTACTCTCTGGGATCCTTCTCATACTAAGTCGGACATAAAAGCTTTTTACCTTATTGGAAAGGGAACTCCATACATGGGGAAATAACACCCTCACGGCTACTGCCGACTTGTAAGCATTTTTATAATGCTGTGGTCTGGCACAAATGAACATATTGCTAAATCGGATTAAAATGTATTTTTTAACTTCATCGTCGTAAAGATTAACCAGAGTAACATCATTAATTACGTTACGAAAATCTTGAGCAAAAATTGTTTCCAGTTTGTTTATCATATGGCTGTTTATAAATCGTTTATAACTTTTATTCTCAATGCCTAACTTTGCAATTGCGTTGTTTATTTTTACTAAATCTTTTACTCTCATATCGTCAACTTTTTCCACAACTGCTTTGCAGAAATGAGTGAAAAATTCTTCTTCTCTGATTAGGACTCTATTTAATGACCATGCAATGCACATTAATGGGTGGCTGTAAAAAGAGCTTAATTTTTTTTGCACACATGTTAACATTTGTTCGTAAAAAGGGGGGTCTAAAAATCGACTTTTTCCCATTCCATAAAATATATAGCCAATTTGCTGTGGTGTTAATGTCTCACGTATTGTTAAGATTCTCTCTGTGTATCCTTTCCACAATTCGTAATCATGCTTTCTTAACGTTGCTGCTTTCTGCACACACGCGGATATGTAGTTTCCGTCCATCAAATCGGGTTGACTTGTTAGGCATACATTCATAGGCAACCAGTACTCCCTGACTCTCTGTTGCGCCCACGACCGAAAGCGCTTGTGCATGCGCTTTGCCTTGTACTTTATCCGGCTCTCCCGCCGGATGGCGTTCACGATTACTCTTTCCCTCGGGCGAAGGAGACCCATCTTGGCGTTCTTCTACAGGGGGGGAAGCGGCAGAGGGGAAAGGACATCCACTGCACCGACACAGCATCCGCTGGCCCGGTCTCCCTTTCTCAACCCCTTCAATCTGTTCAGTCTCAGCGAAGTATCCCTGCACCCGCTGTTGTGTATACCTATCCCACAATTACGCAGAACGGAACATATAGGAATACGCGTTTCACGCAGCGATGGTCAAGGGAGGGCCGCCCCGTTCATCAGGAGTATCCTATGCAACGAAACCACCCCTCATGGGACCAATTCCTCAGCGGTTCGGTGGGGGGAAGGGGACACATGACGCCTGGTTCCTTCCTATGTATATTATTAGCAACATGGGCATACCAGCGTGAACCATCCTGCTGTGTAGCCGTGCCACAATGAGTGAGGCATTTAAAATGTCCAAGAGCAACCCTTTTTTGGAATTGCCATCGCGGTCAGCAGTTTGGTTCACTCGTGTATTAACACCGTCGAGAAGTTTGACCTCCTCCCCAGTTCTTACAAGGTTGGAAAAATTCTCTTCATTGGTTAACTTAGCTTTGCATAGGTGCATATTTTTTTTTTTTTTTTTTTGTTCATGTGTTGTGTTTTTTACCTGAAAATATTGGCTAGCCAAAAAAAAAATTCCCAAAATGGGGAAATACAAATGCGCTTGTAATTTTCTGGCCTATATGTCGGCTCCCCTATTTATGCAGTCACGCTATGCGGCCATTTTGTGCGGCCACTCCAGGAGTCGCCCCTTTAAAACACCCTAAGGAAGGGCTCTCCCCAGAAATGTGCGTGCAAAATGGAGGAAGAAGACCACTTTGCGAACGCGACAAAATGGCCCTGAGTTCGAGAGATACGTGTGTGGCATTTATCACCCCTGCGGTGATTCATCCATACGTTTGTGCAAAATATACATTTTTGTGGCGAATGGAGCTGCACACCTTTTTTGGTTGTTGCGGAATAGATTGGACAGATTGGCAACATTGATATACATTTTTAAGATAATAACATGGACTACTTGCCACCGCGTGGCGTCGTTCTCGCGCTTGCCTTTTTATTTCAGCCAAAATTGACCCCCCTCCTGATTTGCCTGTTTTACCTTTTACCCACCGGAAGGATATGTTTAACCGTTTAACAAATCGGGTGAACAGATTATGGCCCAAGTAAAGCATAAATTAAAGAGGGGCTACTGACGAGTTCATTGACTGGACATTTTTGTATTCATCTCCAATCATTTCCTCTTTAACTTTTTCAAAAAGGATATGTTATGTGTTTTGGCGATTTTCCAAATGGGGACATAACTCAAGAGCAACGTTTTAATTATGCTCCTCCTGAATATGAAAACATTTGTTGCAAAATTTTTTTTGTCTTTTAATTTGCCTTAATACTCTTGAATAATCGAGAATTATGGCCCGTGTGAAAAGCAATAAAATGGAATGCCATTTCGGAAAATAGCAGCTTTGTAAAGTTTGGCATTGTCCAAGCAGGGCCTTCTTTACGTGTGCGTGTGTGAAAATGTGTTAGTGGGCATGGGGAAGCGCGAAGGGTTACGAGTGCGTAAATATGTAATACATATATGTGTGTGTGCATACGTCCAGGTGTTGTACATCACTGTGGGCTGGCTCCGAATTGCCTCTTTACTGTCCTTTTAAAAAATGCGCCTAACATGGTTAACAGGACAAACACGCTAATACTGCTACGTGTTAACGAAAACTATTTGTAACGTTCGATGGGTAGTCCATATGAAGGCTTTGAAAGGGGGAGTTTCCCCTCTTTTCAACTCCAAAAAATGGTAAAAACAATTCGTTTTCATTTCAAATTGCCTGAGAATAGGGGAAAACGTCGAAGCCCTGGCCCTGTGAGGCAGGTCCCACTCTTCAGGGAGTTCAATTTAGCAAGGCAGTGGGCACGTACGCAATATGTGTGCGTATGTACATGTGTATACCTCTGTACCCACCTTACTCCGTCCTTGGTGGAGTAGTTATAAATATCCACCCTTTCTTTGTGTACATATTTATTGTGCGCCCTTTTTCAATCTGGCGAATATTTCCCCCAAATGAGCGGCCAGACCTAAGCGTACTGTTTTTATGGCGTGCCTCCCATTGCCTTTTGTGTTTAGTGCAATAAAGAAGCTAATCATGGAAGGCGTCAAAATGTTGGCACTTGGAATTATGGAGGTGTAAAGTCAAGGAGAACGGGTGATACTGAAAGGAATGTTTCTAGGGAAGGACAAGCTCAAAAAGGCATCTTTTGGCATTTTCATTTGCGTCTGTTTACATTTGCATTTTGCATTTTACAAGGAGGGTTTATTAAGCGCTATATATGCGAATTGCAAAAAAGGAAAAAAAAAAAAGAGAAAAAAAAAGTAAAGAAAGCCTCCCCGCTCCGATCGCGAAAACGATTGGACAACTTGCCAAATTAAAAATACGCCTTTTAATGGCTGCGCATTTGTTCTGTTTTTTCGACATTTTTTTGTCTGTTTTGCACTTTTTTACCCTTTTTGCCTTTCTTTTTTGTTTTTTCCGATTTGTTGACCTAAAATATATGGAAACCCCATAACCCTTTTCGTTTTTTCACAAAAGTGCATTTGTACACAAATAAATGCATGAAATATACGTTTGTATATTTTTTTTCTGTAATATTTTTATTTTTTGTGTGAAATTTTGTTCTGTCTTTAAACAATTTGTATTGTATTTGTATTGTGCTTGTATTGTATTTGTATTGTGTTTGTATTGTATTTATACTGTATTTGTTTTTCCTTTTTTTTTCATTTGTAGTATAGTTGTAATAAACATTTTTCGTTTATGATAACTATACGTTTGTATCTTCTATATTTTGTATTCTTTTTTTTTTTATTTGTTTATGTATTTTCCCTGTTTGTCACATGTTTGTTTGTTTTTTTTAAGCTTTTTTTGTGTATATTTTTTTAAGCATTTGTTTTTTACTTTTGAAGTGAGTCTCTTTAGGCTTTTTTAAAAGTACTGCTTTTTTTTTGTATTGTTTGTTTGTGTCTGTCTTTCTTTCTCTGTGTCTGTCTTTCTTTCTCTGTGTCTGTCTTTCTTTCTCTGTGTCTGTCTTTCTTTCTCTGTGTCTGTCTTTCTTTCTCTGTGTCTGTCTTTGTTTGTAGTGTTCGTTTCTGTTTGTCTGTGTTTGTCTATCTTTGTCTGTGTTTGTTTGTGTTTGTCTGTGTTTGTCTATGTTTGTCTGTGTTTGTCTATGTTTGTCTGTGTTTGTCTATGTTTGTCTGTGTTTGTGTTTGTTTGCAGTGTTTGTCTCTGCCTGTGTTTCTTTCTAGTTTTTTCCGTCTTCACGTTTGTTTCAGTACGCGTTTGTTTGCGCCTGCATTTCTTGCGGCACGTTCGTTTGAACTTTTTTGTTTTCGTCCACCCGCCCGTTTGTAGACCCCGCGTTTGTTACGTTTGTTGTGTTTGTTACGTTTGTTGTGTTTGTTACGTTTGCTGTGTTTGTCGCGTTTGCTGTGTTTGTCGCGTTTGCTGCGTTTGTTCCTTCTGCTATTGTTTGTTACCGTTTGTTGCCATTTGTTAGTACTTGTTTTTGTGTACGCTTCCTGTTTTTAGTTTTTTCCTTCTTAAGGCAATTTTTTGATGTTCGCGTTAGAACCGTGTTCGCTTGGACGTATTCCTGAGTTTGTCCGATGCATTTGCGAGTTTGCGTGAACGCGCCCTCCACTTGGCACGTTCGAGGCACAAATACTCCATTCACGAAGCACTTTAAAAAGGCAAAGGGATTCCTCATATATAACTGTGTGCATACATACGCTTCTTTTTTTTTTACCCCTCCATGTTTTTTTCCCTTTTTTGTTATTAAGATATATGACTTTAAAATTTTTCCATGTTTTTGGCGCAGACCCAATTTGCATGTAGCGCGCTCCTACACCAGTCACACCGTCGTATTGTACTTGCAGTGAGGTGAAGTAAAGCCGAGAAAAAAAAAGAAAACGATACATACAAAAAAGAGAAAAACAAAGTAAAGATAATAAAAAAATAATAATAAAAAAAAAAAAAAAAAAGCATAAGGAATTAAAGCACGTGAATGCATGCGTCCGCTTGGGATTATTCTCCGCTGCGCCCACGTCGTAAAAATTTGTATCTTTTAAAAATATAGATACGAAAAGGAAAAAAAATAACAAAAAAAAAAAGAAAATAAATAACACAAAAGGAGAGACATCTTAAGGCTTTATTTTACTTTACTATTTTATGGCAGCTTTTTTGAGTTAAGACAAGTTGAGAGCAATCCATAGGAACGTAAAAACCGAATCCTGTGTGCTAGTGCGAGACAGCAAAGACGTGTTTTTTTTTATTTTTATTTTATTTTTTTGTAATGCTGCGTACGCTTGTGAAATTTTTTAACATCCCGTCTCATCGTGGAGAAAAAATACATCCCCAATTTTGTAATTTTTTCTTTTTCCCATTTTGACACGAGCTGCGCTGTTCTATGCTATACGTCTGTGTATGTATGTACGTGTATATGTCCGTATGTGTGTATATGTGTATGTGTGCGTGTCTTTGGACGAGTAGCCCTCTTTCAACGCTGGTAATTTTTTCCGTTTGCAATTCTGAGTGATAAAAGAAGAGCGTACACATTCGTAAGGGCGAAAATTACATGTATACAATTACGTGGGGTTGCTAAACAGACGTTAGTGTATTCTCCTGGAGACACCTGCGCCGATTAGTATGCATGTGCGGGAAAAACTCATCTGGGCACCACGAGAAAGACATCACCAATTGTTTCAGATTAGCATTCTTCATGTGTGTGCGTGGGCGAGTCGATTAAGCAATTGAGGAGGGGGTGCCGTTCTACTGGCGTTAGGGGCACTTTCACCTGCTAATTTCTCCACGTGTTTAGGGGCCATTGGTGTGTGTCTATACGTACTAGAACGCACCTCTACAAAGTGGAGTAAGAAGTTACGAATCCATTTTTGAGTTAACCTTACCATTTGGACAGCTGCACAAGAGAGTAACTCCTCAATTCGCAGGTATTTTTTCCCCCCCCCTCCGCGCCACTTTGCAACTACCTAGATTGAGGGAACTGCCACGAGGTGATGACCCCATTAGGCGCGAGTCCGTTGCAACACGCCCGCTTAGTTGCTTCTTTCAGCCGAGCTGCTCTCGAAACGGACCACAAAGGAGACCCTCGAAGGAGATCGTCTACCGGAATAGCGCCATTTCAGTGGACGAAGCGGACGTGGCGAAACGATACTGAGCACAGGTGGAGGCCACAATCTCCATCCCCGAATTGCGCACTGGAGGCATAAAATGAATAATGAACGCAGAAACACGGTGTACAAGGGAAGAGGGTTCATCCTGAAGACAGCAAACAAAGAGTACTTAGAAAGCAGGAACAGAAGAAAGACAAAAAATACCCTCAATGATAGGAGAAAAAATATTTTTAATAAATACAACCCAGTGGTATTACCCCTATTAGGAAATTACAAAGGTAGGAAAGGTGAGCAATCGGGGAACAACGACATCAACCTGCTGAACGAGAGCGAAATAAATAGCTTCTTGATGAGGAACAAAGCGTTTCGCCTCACATGGTCTTGCATTATAGATAAAATACAGAAAGAAATAGACATCCAGATCTCCAAAAATCTGAGTAATGTGTTTGAGGAAATATACGCTTACTCAGTTTCGAACCATGAGTTTCTTCCGCTGATTTTGATGACGGCGGGGACGAATGTAGCGGACCACGAGATAATCATCGATGCGATTTCGTACGAGTTGAAGAAATGGAATTACAACAAGGGGCGCAGACGTGGGGGAGGCGGAGGAATACACAGGGGAGGAACCCTTAACGGGGAAAGCGTCCATCCCGCCACTAACGCCACTACCGCCGTTCCAGGTGGTCCCCACCATGGGCTCACCATTTTGAAGACTCTCAACGGAGGAGACGATGTATGCGGCGAATCGGACATGAGCAGCGGAGGGGGAAACATACACCCCTCGGAGGAGGAGCAGAATGAAGAGCAGCAGCAGCAGAATGAGGCACAAATGAAAAGGGATCACTCGTGGGTGAGTGCACAGAAGGGGGCAGAGGTGGAAGGACAAAGTAGGGAAAAGAAGAGGCGTCTAAATGGAAGCTTCGACGAGGTTACTCTGAACCAATTCGAATCGTATGATGAGAGTGACGTGTATTTGTGCTCTCTCAATTCAAGTACGTCGAAGAATGTGAACGCGGCTATTTACAATATATACAGTCAGCTCTACAGGGAGTACAAGACGAGGGCGTTTTTGGCTAAATACAGACACAAGAGCGGACAAAATGGAGAGAAGCATTACCCTGGTGAAATTCGAGTCAGTCCAAGAAGGATGGGAAGTAACGATTCGGAGGTTAGTCCTCGAAATGGAAAAGGGAGGGACATTTCCTCTTGCCCTTTTATTCCCAATGGAGAGGGTCACTCCAGGTATTACAAAGTGAGTAAAAATATGGTGAGCATAGACAAGCTGATAGAACTGTATTGGCAGATGAGCGAAATTGAGAAGAAAAGGGAAGCAGGGAAAGACACGGTGAAGACTACTTCTTGGTCGATGGACTTGTCTGACTTATATAGCCAAATGAGGGATCAAGACGACCCTTTTTTGCAAACACATGCAGAAATGGAACTATATAGTAAACAAAATGACTACATGGATGATGGGAGGAAAAAAATTCGAGTGATCATTCTGATTCACGACTGTGAATATTTCAATATAAACGTACTGAATGGCATTTTAAATGTGTTAATAAATTTACGGATAGAAAACAGATTATGTCTTAGTGTTATCCTAGGAGTGTCGACTCCTTCGTTTTTCTTCAGCAGAATTACAACTCCAGACACGCAGAGTAAGCTGCGCATTAAGACCATCGACATTTTGAATAATAAAGTCATCTGTGAGAGGGTGTGTGATGATCTTCTGTTCGGAGACACCTTGCCATTTATCGTAACCTTTCGAACAATCCATGCGATAAAGCTGCTGCTGCATAAGAACAACCAGTCGATTAGCCACTTGGTGCACATTCTGTACATCCTGACGAAGGAGTTTTATGACAACAATTTGTTTTCCTTCCTATCCCTCCCGATGGGGTACTACTTGGGGGGGGGGCTCGGCAGCGGATTCGGGAGCGACTTCGGGAGTGGCCTCTGCGTGGACGAGGCCGCTATGGAGTACTCCCCGTACACCTTCGTGCGATCGAATCAGAAGTCATTCAGCGATTACTCCAAATTTGACATGAGGGCCCTCCACAGGAAGATCATCTGCCTCTGCTATTCGGCCAACATCTACTACGCCCACTTGTCCTTCCTGAAACGGAAGTACTCTTCCATCCTTGTGCAAAACTATTTCACCCTACATGGGAAGGATTCCATAGTACAAACCCCGACCAATTCGGACACGGAGATGGATAGCTTCACGCTGAAGAGGAAGCCCAACCGGGCCAGTGTCTCTCACGCGAATGAGAAGAGGAAAAGTGTGAAAGGTGAGCTTCATAGGGGAGGTACCCAACCGGGGGGTGGCGATGCCACCGCTGCAGAGGGAAAAGCGGCGGAGGAGCACCCCTCCAGTGCGCATCAACATGCGTGGGAGAAGCAGACCAAGTGGGAGAATGACAACTCCTTGGAGACGTCCCAATCTGACTGCGCACAGGGGAGAAGGAAAAAAAATCTGGATAGAAGCCTCCTCGCGTGGAAGTTCAAGGCCAGCACGATAAACTGGTGGTTTGACCACCCCTTCAAGGATCTAGTCTATTCATACAAAGATGAGAAATTAAGGAGCACTCTGAAGAGCGAAATTGACGCGCTACTGGACAGTACAGAAGAGAAAAGCGTGAGCAATCTTCACGATGTGGATAGCGTGCAGGAGATAAACAAATACCTTTGTGAGGTGGCCTTGCCTAGAGCTGTCCTTCAGCTCATAGAGAGGAAATACGCCTTCAACATTGCGATAAATCTGATAGACATCATTATTAAGTGTAAAAATGAATACAGAAATTCAATAAAACGGGTCGATTATTTTAGGACACTTTTCCTCAACTTCGAGAAAGTAAAGTGGAAAGATAATAGGAGCATCCTCTACATAGAGGAGATTTACAAAGTAGTCGAAAATGATGTAAAAAAGTGTGTAAGCTTTCTAATCGATATTGTCACTCCATATTGCTTCAAGAACCAGGAAGTGCTGCTAGCCATGCTTAAGGAATTTAAGAGTTACTACACGAGGGTATATCCCCTTGTGTATAACTTAGAGGACTATTTATTTTTACTGAAGGAGAAAGAGAAGGAGAAGGACCTCTTCATCAATGATGACTTCGCTAAGTTCTCATCCGAGGGGTACTCCTTTTCCTTTTCTGTGTACTACTCCTTATTATTTAAGCTGGACGATTTGATAGAAATGGTGCGGACATTTCTGTGTCAACAGAGGGGGAGTAACCAGCGGGTCAACAGCCAAAGTGGAAGCACCAGTGCTGCCACCGCCGCTGATCATCCCGACGGGGAAGAATACTCCCCCTTGATGGGGCACCGACAAAAAGTCCTACCTGAGAAGAAAAAGGCCTACAAAAGATATCTCACCATCCAGAATAGCAGTTTGAAGGGAGCATTGACAAACGAGACAGATAGGACAGTGAACGTAGAAGATATGTCAAATTCGATAAACCTGTTTCTACATGAATACCTGAACATGCTTCTCCTACCTCCTCTGTATTGCCACCCTCTGGCATACGAAATGGTAATGCATAAGCCGGATAAAGAGTTCACAGATCTCATGACTAGAGACATAAAGACGGAGCTGCTGCAGACCCTATGCTACACCAATCCGTACAAGACGGGCAGCCTCATCTGCTCGTGCTGCTCCTTCCCGGAGAATAAAGCCAACACGGAAATGAGCACCAACATAGTGGGGGACGGCAAGGTCTACCTTAACCCCTACTACGACAACGTTTCAACACTGGAAGATTTGATAAACGTGTACAGGATTTACGAGCGCTGCAACAAGACGCTGGATCTCTACAACTTCTTCATCCTCTTCGTGAACGTCAAGGTGGACGGCACCGCGGAGGGGGTGGCTCCGTCCGTGGCATCGGCGGGGGCATCGGCGGGGGCACTGTCAGGGGCCGCTTCTCCGACCGCCACGCCTGTCTGCACGCACATGCTGCAGGAGTACTACCTTAAGTTCATCATCGCCGTGAACACCTTCTGCTCGTTTCTTAAAATCCTAAAGCCCCCCAACGTGTCTGCCCTGCTCAAATACACAGAAAAGTGCGACAACGTTTCGGATGATGAGGCGGACGAGGACGGGAGAGGCGGCACGCACGGCGGAGACGAATCGATCGGCAAGTTCCTCTCGGACATTAGGAAGACCCTACAAGGGTGCACGAGCAAGAAGTTGCTATTCGGGAAGCTCTACTACAATCGGACCATCATATCGCGCGAGATGCACTTGCAGAGGCTCCTGATGCAGTACAATGCGGACTTCCACGCCGAGCTGCACGGTGCGAAGGAGCCCTCCAGCAAGACTGCGCGGGTTTGACCCTGTAGCGGTATTGCGCCGATTTTAGTGGGAGCGACGTGGCCATCCGCGAGTCTCCTGGAGAAGTTGGCTAGCTAGCTATTTTTTTTTTTTTTTTTTTTTTTTTGCGACCTCGTTTATAGCACTTTTACGTGACGAGCGAGGTCGATTTTTTCTTTTTTTTTCAAGCACGACATGAACGTAAAACTGGAACGCATTTTTAATCCTTTGGTGTGCACGACGCGGAAGTTTGGGGAAGGAGCAATGGGGGAGGGCGGGTCCCCTCAAACAACAAGTGGGGTTAAGAAGTTATTTCTTTTATTTCCCCCCCTTTTGTGTTACATTGTTCAAAAGGACTAGCCATCTGCATGTACAAAGGTACTTCCTATTTTTGCATTATGGAGGGTTCCCAGAGAAATATCGTGTGACATGTCATTGGGGTGTGTGTGTGTGGTGTCTATACCGCGCGTCAGCAGCCACTGCAATGTTCATCCCTTAGGCATTCCCCCTTCACTGGGGAAAAACAACACGGCAAAGAGGGTGGGAAACTGGTGAAAGTTGGCGCTACGATTCGCTTACCTAAAGAACACGAAAGGTGACCGGGGCTGGGACCGCGACTGCCGCTTTACGAGAGTGACCCTCCCCATTAGGACGTCCCCTCTATGCATTTGCGACATTTGAAGGGACCCCCACATCCTGTCCGACCGCCTACTTTCAAAACTGCGATCATCTTTGGCATACACGATGCACATGAGCAGATTTCCTACGCGAACAAAATTGAGGGCACGTTTCGCATTTTTTTTTTTTTTTTTTTTGTTGTGGGCAACTTTTCTCTTCCACGTGCATAGCACCAAACAATTCCTTTGCCATGAAGCGGAAAAGGTTCGCCTAATTTTGTGGCCGCCTGTCCGTGTCCCTTACTCCGTGCCCATGTAGCCACCTCATCAAGAACCGAAAACAAAGGGGGGAGAGCACCATTAGGGAGAGGAAATTTCCCCAATCTGTCGCAACGAAGGATCCATACAACATATATGTATGTATGTAGTATGTATGTATTTATGTATTTTTTTATTTTTTTTTCTTCTTTTGGTCCATCGTATTGGCATGCAAAAGTGAAGATAAAATGCTATGTTCGCTCCCCCCCTGTGAGTAAATTTTTTTTTTCCTTTTAAATCGCATTTGAATGGAAAATCGAGCAGCGTGGAGACAGAAAATAAAAGAGGGATTGTTACCTCAATTGATGTATGAGCAAGGTGCCGACATGGAGAAAGCGCTTCGAGGAGATATGATATATAGAGTATAATCTTTATTTTTCCTCCATCATTCTGCATCTAAGGCACGTTAGCAAAACAGGAACAGAAGTTAACCATGGCAACCCCCAAAGGTTTAGCTTCAACAAAATGTGGGCGATGTCGTCCGAACGACCACCTTTGTCCATGTAAAAATGTCAACTGGCCCATGCGCATCGTAGAGGCAAATTGCGAAATGTCCATTTTGCTACTTCACTTTCCCATTTAGGACGGAAAAAGTCGGATAAAGAGAAAATCGATGAATCATTCTCGGAGAACAAGTAAGGAGACCCAACATGAGGGGAAAGCATCCGTGGAAGAAACGACGCTGCGCGGTAGCAACAGTGACGGTGGTATCCGCAACACTAATTTAGGCGGTCACCCCAGGGACCATGCTTATTTTACACCCGAGAGGGAAATCCCAACTGGAGTTCGCGGCCAATACTGCTCTGCGAACGATTTTTAACGTTTTCCGTCCACCCCCACCATCTGTGTAGGGACTCGCCGAAGAAGTCGAGGAATACCCTGCAGGAGGACAAGGCATTGAAAATGCGCGCGTGCTTGTCCTGCCGCCTGCTGCGCACGGAAGCGGAGGTGAGCACCAGCGCGAGGAAGCGGCGTGATGCCGCGTTGGGTAGATGGCTCAGTGGCTCGTCACATATTCAGCGATATGTCGTCTCCAACCCCACTGCGACACGGCCATTTCTTCACCGCCGCTTCTTCTCCACCCCGTTCTCAGTTCTACCAGAACGGCTGTAGCAACTGCAAATTCCTCCAGATGGCCGGAGACCGGCATCGTATCCACGACTGCACGACGGACAACTTCAATGGATTCATGGCGATAACCACCCCGACGAAGTCTTGGATGGCCCAATACAACGACCTGAGCAAATACGCTCCAGGCTTTTACGCCTTGCAGGTGGTGGGAGAGCTGCCCGAATCGATAAGAGATTTGAAGTCGAACTATTAGGAGGTGTCTAGCCATAAGGTGGGATACGATATATTTCTTCCTTTGCCGTCTGGCTTCTTCATTTTTTAGTGACCCCCCTGGAGACGTGGCGACAGCGTAGCAGTTTAGTCACGCGAAGGGGGGGTAATTTGAACCGCTTCTCTTTGAAAGTGCCATTTTGAAAGCATTCCAGTGGTGGAAGGCTTTTCACCCCGCGGGGTGGGGAATCCATAACGGGGACAGACCCTCCGTTTAAAAGTGTCTGATGAGCTGTTCGTTCAGTTAGGAGAAGGAAAAGGTACGGTTGGTTCGGAGAAGGCCAAAAAAAGAGAAATGCACATACGACGTGAATGCTAAGTAAAGAGAAGTACATACGACGTGTCAACATCGTGGGGACAAAAAAGGACAGACAAAAAAAAAAAAAAAAATCCCCAACACAGTGGCTGTCCAGCTACCCCTTCCTCCTGGAGAGTCGCCACGCATTGGGTTCCTCATAATAATTATGCAGCGGCTCGATCTTCTCGCGCAGCTTAATTTTGGAGATCTTCTTCTCATCAGCAGGGATGAACAAATTGGGCGCCAGCTGAATCAGCCACTGCGGTTGGATAATGGTGCAGTCTCGAATGTACTCCTTGTTTGTTAGGACTAACTCGTGGTATACAACAAACAGGGGGTTCTTGTTAAACAGACTGGACGAGGGGTGGATAAAGACTTGCTGGTTTGTTAGAAGCGTAGTATACCCCTGCTGAGCGTCCCTTTTACAGACATGACTGAAGTATCCAGAGCAGATACTTTTGCATATACTTGCATACTTAGCGGAGTCATTTCTGCTTCGATTCTTTTGTACCTCATAATTATACCTCTCGAATATTGACAGAATCTGTTTCCGCACATCTTGAGACCTTTTCAATGCCCTTGAATGGATAAAATTCTCATGGCACCAATAATTGGAATAGTTATTTTCTCTCCACTTATTGTATATATTAAGATAGGTTATTAAATCTCCTTGTGGCATTAAAAATTTATTTTTCTTTTTATCTGCCAAAAGGGCTTTATTCTGAGGGCGATAAAAAATGTTCTGTACACTCAGCATACTAACTATGGTGACAACATCATCTGCACAGTTAAAATTTATCGACGTTAATAATATCTTGGACAAGTTAGGTTCCATTGGAAAATTCGACATCTTCTTTCCTAGCTTTGTTAAATACCCGTTATCATCCAGAGCTCCCAGGTAGTATAGATTTTCCAGAGAATGGATAAGGGTATCCACTGATGGGGAATCCATAAAATCAAAGTGAAGGAAATCGTTTACTCCTAGTGCTTTTAGAAGCAGTACTGTACTACCGAGATTTATTCTCTGTATTTCTGGGATACTCGTTTCTGCCATTTCATTTTTATATGCTTCTTCTGTGTAGAGACGGTAACATTTGCCTGGACCTGTTCTGCCTGCTCGACCTGCCCTCTGCTTAGCATTCGCTTTGGAAATGGGCGCGACCACTAAGCTATCCATATCTCTCTTCGAGTCATATTTCCTAATTTTACAGAATCCTGGGTCGATGACGAAGAAAATTCCGTCTATAGTTAAACTCGCTTCTGCTATGTTGGTCGCCAGGACACACTTTCTGCATCCCTGTGGGGCCGGGTCGAATATAACACTTTGCATCTCCGATGGCAGGGATGAATAAATCGGCAGAATGATCAGCGGCGGGGGGGACATACTCTCCAGCTTCTTCATTCGCTCATGCAGGATTTCACACGCCGTGTTGATTTCGTCCTGACCCGTTAGGAAAACCAGGATGTCCCCCGGGTGCTCGTTCAGGTGGATGTTAAGCACGGTGATGAGGCAGGCCTCCACGTAGTCGCTTTCGGGTTCCTTCGAGTGCAGAATCTGACAGGGGGGGGGAAGCGGCCACAAGCATGGATAAGCGGTCACAAGCAGGGATAAGCGATCACAAGCAGGGATAAGCGGCTATGTGCATGTCTAATAGCCTACACGCATGGCTGATCCGTTGGCGTGCCCCGTGGCGGTACCTCCACTGGAAAGATCTTCCCCGGGATGGTGAAAATGGGCGAGTTGAAGAAGTAGGTGGAAAATTTCTCCGCATCCAGTGTGGCGGACGTCACGATTAGCTTGAAGTCGGGCCGCCTCTTCACGACGTCCTGCGGGGGGGAAGCGTACAAGCAGTCAGCGGTTAGCGGCGTACAATGAGTCAACCGTTGGCGGCGTATAAGGAATGAACCGCTAGCGGCGTACACATAATAATGCACCTACATACATGCAGACATCGCATGCGTGTCGCGCAACTGGCAGCGGCTCTGCGGAAAGCCCCCCACTAACGCGTCGACTCCTTGGCGAGTTACAATGTTCCCCCGTCCATTCTGCAAATAATTTAAATGACCATTTTAAACATGCCGTGGGACGGGGAATGTTCTCTTTTTTTTTTTTTTTTTTTGTAAGCCCTATACCTGTCAACGTTTTTTTAATTTTTACGAAGCGTTGTCATTAGCAGGCTCAGCGCACAGTGGCTTCCTTTAGCCGAAATGGCTGTGAAGGCACATTTTATGGCCAGGCCCTGGGCGGACGACAACGAAGGGGAGTGAAGGGGAAGGGAAAAAGAAAAGAAAAAAAAAAGAAATTCAGCTTACCTTCAAAAGACAGAAGAGGATATCCGTTGAGATGGTCCGCTCATGGGCTTCATCAAGCTGCGGGAGGAACGGTTGGACATGGGGTGAATTACGTAAATTGGAAATTTCTTCACAAGGTATATTTGGTGAGCGGCATAGCCATGGTGTGTTCCCTCACAAATTGCGGTTGGCTTCGCTCTCCTGCTCTTCTTCTTCTTCTTCCTCCCCCTCTGGGCTACTTACTATGATGAAGGAATACTTGGAGAGCATCGTATCGCTGAGGGTCTCCCGAAGGAGCATACCATCGGTGAGATACTTTATAATGGTGTCATTCGAAGTGCAGTCGTCAAAACGGATGGAGTAACCAACCTCCTGACCTAGAATGCATCCAAACTCTTCGCTCACTCGTTTGGCAATGGACATTGCAGCAACTCTTCTCGGCTGTGTACATCCAACGATACCCCTCTCCGTGTAGTTGGCTTCGTGTAAGTATTGAGGAATCTGGGTTGTCTTCCCACTTCCCGTTTCTCCAATGACAATGAGGACATTATTCTTAGCAATCGCTTTCATCAGGTCCTTTTTCAAATGATAGATTGGAAGCTTTGCCCTCTGCTCATTTACAGGCATAGGGTTTTTAACCCCAATGGAGATATTATTGTGTAGGTAATTTTTTCTCCATTCAGGGAGGTCATAATTCTTGCCAATATTTTTTAATGCCTCTGCTATGGTTCTTTCTCCCAACTCAGGTTTTGGATCCTCCCATGGTCTACTAATATCTTTTGGGATGCTATCATAGATAGCGTTCTGTTCATTCTGTTTCTGTTCCTTCCTCTCCTTGGCCAAAGCAGAGGTGGTCGTTATAGCCCTTGCTAGAGACCCTTCTGCATTAACGATGACTTGTATAGGGGACAGTTTCGCCCCAGCTTTTGTCGTCTGTCCTTTCAAAAACGCTGGCTCCCTTTCGTTCACCTCAATTTCAATTATTTCCTCTTCGTCTTCAATTTTCTCATCATGTCGTAGATTTTTATATTCTCTTTTTAACTGCTCATCATAGATGATTCCACCTTTTATTAGCTGCTGGATTTCCCACTTGGAGTAATCGCTTTGCATTTTTATCACACTTTCATATTTCATTGTATCCTTTGGATCTTCCTTAAAAACATCTGAATTGTGTTTCTTCAACTCTTTGTAGTCTTCATGCAGATCGTCAAATATGGATATCACATTTTTGTCTTTTTCTTTTCCTCTTCTGGTGGGTGCACTTCCCCCATCGCCATCGTCTTCCTCGTCACTCACGAGATTCTTTCCTGTTTTTTGATCTACCTCTGACATGTTTAAGTTTATTTTTTCTCCGAATATTGCCTTCACCTTTACCTTCACTTTCATTCCCTTTTGGAATTTTTCATTCATGTTGACTACTCTCTTGCGGTTTGGCAAGATGTCCGTGCAGTGCACCAGCCCTTCTTTGTATCCCCCCGGCTCGGTTCGGAACGAGACGAAAATGCCGAAGTCCATGATTTTGCTCACCGTTCCAGTGAAGATGTTGTTTACCCGTAGCGCGCGCGCCTCCGCCCCATCGAGCCGCCTTCTTTTGCGGTGCCCTTCGCGGCTGTGGTCGCCCCTATGTCGATGGCGCTCTATTTCCCGGCTGTGGCTTCTATCCGGGTGGCGCTCTCTATGTCGATGGTGGTCTCCTTCCCGGCTGTTGCTTCTATCTCTATGGCGGCCCCTATCCCGGTGGCGGTCCCCATGTCGGTTCTTATCCTGGATATGGCTTCCATCTGGGCTGTGGCTTCCATCCCGATGGCGCTTCCCATCCCGATGGCGCCCCCCCCCTGTGGCCGTGTCGCTACCCCCCTCCGCGCCGCTCCCCTCGGACAGCCTCGTTAGCTGCTCATCGTTCTTGATGGTCAAGCAGTGGAATCTTTTCATCTTCTCATTTTTCTTCTCAATCATTTTAATTTCCAGCCTCTTCTCCTTGTCCATTCCATCCTGTTCTTCCTCCTCGGCATCATCTCTACCCGTTTCCTTCCTCCCGGATGCCTTTCCTGAGGAGTCCCCACCGGGGAGCTTAATAATATCATACAGGTACTTCAGCACAGAATGCTCAATTTCTCCTCCATTTTCAAACACCTCTTTACAGAACTCTTCTAACGATTGGGCTTTTTTACATAAGTAAATTAAATATTCTGCTAAGTTGTCATCCTCCACCCCGAGACTTTTGTAGAGCTCCGCATTCACCTTCTGTATGAGATTAATTTTGCTGAGGCACTCCATGGCCGCTTGGGTGGTTTCCCATTTGTAGAGTTGCTAGTAACAAGTTTGTGTTTTTCTTCCCCACCACTGTTTGTTCTTCGCGTTGGGGGGGGTCACCTATATGGGGGCGTACGTTTGGTTTTGCTTCCCTACGTTTGCTTCCGCCTTTAAGGCAAACGATGCGGACTCCCCCCTTTGGCTTATCCCCAGCAGGGCACCTTTTTATTATCATCCCCTGGGCCGAATAAACAAAATCGCGCTGAAAAAAAAAAAAAAAAAAAGGGAACACACAAGTGTGTGTCGCACGACACAGTTACGTAGGCTGGCATACAATATCTATGCATGTGTTGTATATATGTTGATGCCCTCCAGGTGGCAAGTCTGCGCGGATGAAGCCACCACGACAGAAAGGGTGTACATCTCGTGCTTCTCCCCTTGTCGAGGCTTTCTCTACTCAGACGGGTGTTCCAAAGGGTCCGCCGAACGCTCCGGTGCAGGTGCTCAGAACTTAAAGGGCTTCTTCACACTGAAGGGATTGTTTATATTGTCGTAATCTACGCCGGAATACTGGCGCGGGGAAAACATCCCGGAAGGCATGTTCGGCATGTTCTGGCCTTGTAACCCAGCGAAGTTAGGGGGGCTCTGTTGGAATGATGGCGAGCCGGAATAGGAGTACTGCCTTGACATTTGCGGGAAAAAGTTTGGATTCAAATTATTCTGCATGGGTGGACTCATCCCAGGCATCATCCCTGGAGGCATACCTCGAGTCATACCTGAAGCCATCCCAGGGGGCATCGGCATACCCATACCAGGAGGCATGTTTCTAAACCCAGGGAAGCCATTATGATTTATCCCTCCGTATTGGTTTAAATTCGTTTTATTAAATTGTAAAAAATTAGGGACCGGGGGTCCCCCCATGACTCCGGTGCCCATGGGGGCACCCATCTCGGAGCCTTTCCCGAAAGGCATAAGATTAGTATAGCTGGCACTCCTAGACATCATCATATTGGCTTGCCCATCGAATAGCGGTTGGTACAGATTCTTGGCGTTCATGGCGTTCTTGTTCTGTAGAGTCATTTGATCCAAGTGGGACTTCTTTTGTGAGTTTTTATTGAACAAATCCAGCATAAGGAGAAAAACAAAACATAAACCGTACACCCCCGTGGTAATCATAAAGATATAAAAGCAGTACGAGCATTTGGGGAAAGGATACTGTTGAGCTTTAGTCACTAGATTCCAAGAGAGGTCTGTCTCGTAATACCAGTAGGTCCCTATACCTCCGTTAATTATAAAAGATAACATGAAACAAGCCATCGAAATGAGAATACTTTTGGAGAAAAGTATATTCCATCCAATGCAAAGAATGATCAGAGTACAAGACAAAACGATGCCACACAGGAGAATCAACGAAATGAAAGAGATCCTCTCGTAGGCTTCTATACGTCTGATAATGGCGTCTCGACATGCCTCCTGACATGCTGATGTCCACAGGGATAAACTTCCAGCCGACTCGCTGTTCCGCCCGACCTGAATTCCTTCACTCCCTTTGCTTCGCATATTCTGTACCCTCTGAGTCCATGTCTCCACATGCTTGTCGTCATAAATCACTTTGTACAATCCGTAGTAAGTATAATCTACGTACAGCGAGTGCTCGCTCCCTCTAAACATGTATTTATACTCAATCGGTTCTGCTTCCCTCCAGGTTGTCATTATGGTCGTCAGGATTTGCGGCAGTACACTGATGAAGCCGATGGCCATAATTATGTGCAGCGCCCGAAGCGTGTTCTTTGATAGCGGCGGGACCGCCTTCTTCGTCTTGCGCGCGCGCCCCATCCCGTCTGGCCGAGAGGGGCTACAGACGAGTGACAGACACACTGCAGACACGCTACAGACGACTTACAGACGCGTTGCAGACACGCTGCACTGTAACGCTGCGGAGGCGAAGCCGAGTCTGCGTTGCACATGGCGCACGTGGAGCTCTCCAACCGGGGGTGGCTTCTCCTACGGCATGCGCGCCGCTTCTGGACAGCCACCACCTATAAAGCGTCGCATACAAAAAAAAAATAAAAGTTGCACAACACGCCAACTGTGTCAAATAGAAACCTTCGCGGGTTAAAAAAAAAAAGAACCGAATGGTCGCACAAGTACAGTGTGCACAAATGAGCGGTGCGCCAATCCTTTGCGCAAGTCTACAAACACACTCGTCGCATTTTAAATTTCGGTTTTGCGCGGACGTGTTTTTCGTTCCTCTCCGCGAAAGGCAGACAGGGCTAAATCTGCGCACAAGGGGGAGATGGCGAAAACGCAAAAAAAAAAAAATGTGTAAAAAAAAAAAAAAAAACACCAAAAAGGATGGCAAAGAAGAACAAAAAAAAAAAAGAGAAAAAAAGGAAAATTACCCCTTTACCTCTGTGAACAGATAAATCGCCTTGTTAACACTTTCCACGTTTTTTCACGAAGGGGCCAATTTTAAATGCATGCCACAGCATATTTGGTGTTGTCCTTCACGGAGTTGTTGCGCTCGCGGTTGTCTTTCACGCGGTTTTTACTCCTGCGGTTGTCCTTTTCACAGCTTCCTTTTTTTCTCCCCGGCGCAGTTGGGCACATATGTGTACCCAGGCGATACTTCCCAACTGCGCATGCAGTAAAAAGACGAAGCATTCTTCACTTCCTTCACTTTTCACTTTCATTTTTTTTGGGGACACATGCACGTATAGGTGTGTAAAAATATTTCTCATTTGTGGTCAGCCCAACTGAGTTTTTTTTTTTTAAAAAGGCTTAAAGCGGTATGTTTTTTCCTCCCGGGGTCTTTTCTCCCCTTCAATGCATGCGCATGTGTGTCCAGTTGCAAGGGGCAAAAAAAGAGGAAGCAAAATGATCAGGCAAAATGGTCACACAGATGAATATACAAATGGCGGCACAAATGGAAGTCCTGGGAAAAGGGAGTCGCTTAACCTCCTGCCCGCCGCGCGGAGTTCCAACATCTGAGCTCCTGAGGGAGACACATGAATGGGTACTCCGCGTAGGCCCCCTCGGGGGGAGGACAAATTTCCTCGGAGGGATTCACACTTGCTGGACCATTTTTCACAAAAAAATTAAAAAATCTGGAAAGAGTGGAAAATGTGGAAGCTGGAATAGCTGGAACCACAGCAACATCAGAAAGGTGATGGGCAAAAATCCCCACTGGGTCTCTGCCCTCGTAGTTGGCTCAGAAGTCAACGCCCCTGCGCCTGGCCAGTATGGACTGCACCCTCTCTCTGGCGCTCTTAAAAGCTGACTTGCTGCCACAGGGGGCGCCACCATGGCCGCTGTTACCGGTGTTACCGCCATTTCCGCCATTTCCGCCATGACCACCGATTCCGTTTCCATTGTTACCGCTGCTGCTGGCGTTGTTGGAGCTCCACTTTTTTTTCTTTCGCTTCCATATGTCCTCCTCAATCTCATAAGACAAGTCAAACTTGGCGTTGTTGTAGTAGCAATTTTTGTACTTCCTGTTTTGCTCACCCGTGTAGGCAAAATCGGGGAAGATTATTTCGTCTCTGCCCTCCGCCACGATAAACGTCTCCTCTTTGATCACGTCAAATGGTTTGTGGCTGTTCGCATGGCTATGGTAATTGGATGCCCCGTTCTTTCCACCATGCTGGTAGTAACAGTTGGGTGTACCGACATAATCCTTCCCCTTGTTCTTCGCGTAATACTCACTTGTTTCAAGGCGAGTCGTTGGCAGAGCGGCACCATCGGAGGGGGACGCATGAGCCAAGTAGTCCTCCTCAGGCACTTTGTTGCTCACTGAGGGGTGATATGGCGAGCTGCCAACATTGTAAGTGCGATTGCTGTAGTTCCTTATTTTATGCGTCTTATGTGTATTCATTCTTTTGGCTCCATTTTTATCGTTCTGATATGACCCGTGCACCCCAGCACCCTTATGTTGGTTTGCACCGCACGCATTATCCACACTGGGTTTGACCTGAGCGCGAAATTCGCCTCCGTTATTCGCACAGGATGACTTGAAGTCATTTTTTTCATAACTAGGTGCAATATTTCCGTTATGGTCCTCTCGTATGCGAGCACAAGAGGGGAAAGAAGGGATATTTCCATTTGGTGATTCCGATTTATAATCTGGTGTTATGCTGGCGTCACGAGAGACATTTTCTTTCCTCTTCATCATCCCGCTGTGCATCGAAAGGGAGTGAATTTTCAAAGGATTAGTGTCGCTGTTCGTTGGGTCGCCAACGTGTGCACTGTCCACGCGAGGGAAACTGCCACCAACCCCAACTCTATCGGCACTACTATCCATGCTACTGTCTGCTCCCCCGGTAGACGCGTGACGACTTTTTCGGCCTACATCTTCGTCCGCCTCGTTATTAGCACTGTCGCTGTGATTGCCCCGGTCGAGTCCATCACCAGGGTTGGCGGCCGAGTTGGAAGTAGTTGTCACGGCAGTCACAGGTGCTGTAACTGCTGCACCTTTACCACCACCGTCGCTCAAATACCCCAGGGATCCCCCCCTAATCCTAATTTTTGTCGGCTCGTTGTCGTAGTAAATGTTCTTGTTAGCACCCTTCACCGGTGCAAAATGTACCTTGTGTTTGTTCTCATAATTGTTATTTCTACGTGACCAGGTCATAATATTTTTTTTACTTTTTTTTTTTGAAGACTTTTTGGCTAGCTGATGATGGTCATTACGTGAAACGATAAAATTATTTCCCCCGCCCATTTTATTGAACTGCGAAATATTGTTTTGCTCATTCTTCCCATGCCCTTTCTTACTGTTACCGCTATAAGTGGCGGAGCTGTACGTATGCTTATTCCCTTTGCCACTTCTGTATTCGTTTGTCTCCTCATTATATTTGCAATTTCCATCAATGTGCATCGTCGCAATGGTGTTGTCAGAGAGGTTTCCATCGTTGCTGTTTATGACGTTGGAGTAGTAACTGGAGCTCCACTCTGCGCTGTACTTAACATATCTGATGTTGGACTTGGGGCCATTTTTTCCTTTGGGTTTGTCTCGACTTAGCTTGGCCAAACTGCTGTCGCTTCCCTTCTTCTTGCTTATGTAGTACCTTTCTACGTTCTTGGACTTGGCCTTCCTGTTCGTGCTGTTGCTATTGACTATGCCATTGACATTGCCATTGAGATTGCCACTCACAATACCATTGCCAATGCTGCTACCGACTCCAACGCCATTCCCACTCTTTTTGGAGTTCCTCATTATGTCGCTTCTCCTGTTGGGACTCCAAACATGAGCACTTCTACCAGTGGTACTTCTTCCATTGCCACTCCTGGCATTTCCGCCCTTGTTTTTATTCTTCTTCCCATTCACACCCAAACTGCTAATAAAAATGCGCTTGCCATTCTTCTTCCTCAAGCCGTACCAAATGTCACAGGGATTTTCACACATATTAAATTCAACGTGATTCTTCCTATTGACGTACACCTTGGTCGATTCATCACTAAATAGGGAGCTACTATCGTCGATGGTTTTATATGTTTCGATCTGATTGGAATTTTCTCGGTTCCCGTTACTCGTCCCCTTGGTATCATCATCGTAGTTGCCACTTCGAGGAGCCACTCCGTCTCCGCATGCGTCGCGGCATCCGTTTAGGGGGATTTCCAGATCCTCGCATCGGTTCCCTTCTATGTCATTTTGTCCGATAATTTCGTTCATGGGGGGATCACCACTGGGGTGTTTTATCTGATCTGCACTTTGGGGGCGACCGGGGGGGATGTTCTCGGGGGCGCCAAGGTAGCCCCCCCACTGACCGCCTGGCTCACCACCTGCTATTTTCCCGCTCACTCTGTCGCTGACTCTCCCGCGTATTTTCCTGCCAGCCTTCCGGCCAGCTTTCCCGCCTGCCCTTGCGCTCCTCTCGGCCCTCTTCTCCCGCTTCTCCTCCTCCTTTTTCTGCTCAATCCTTTTCTTCACGTAGATGAGGAAGTTCTGGTTGTCATTATCCTTGTCCTCTCCGCTCTCGTCACTGAGAATTTGGTTTCTCTTATTCAGATCGTCGAGCAGTTCTTTGGTGAGTCTCACTCCCTCCCCGTGGCTGCTGCTGCAGTTCTTATTGTTATTGCTATTGTTACTGTTAGGACTGCTCTCGTGGAGGGCGCGCCTATCACCTTTGCCATGATCGCCCTGGTTGTGCGCCTGCTTCGTGGGGTTCCCCTGGCCTCCGTTAAGGGCAACCCCCTGAATAGGCCCACTATTCCCATTGGAGCTTCTCACATGGTGCCCCAATTTGTTATTCATCTCTATGTTCGTACCCCCTGGAGATGAACCTATGAGCAAGCCTTCCTTGGACTTATCTGCAGTACCTCTTCCACTCTGTTGCGGAAGGTTCCCTTTTTTTTTTAAGTCCCGTTGGGAGTAGCTATTACCAATTTTGTCATTTTCCAGGAAGTGGCTGTTTTCCTTCTCACCCGCTTTTTTCTTTTTATGGTGAAAGAATGCAACATTCGAATGGTATGCTTTTTTGGATCTCTTCCCACTTACATGTTTGTCATTTTTCCACTCATGTGATTTTATTTTGTCACTTTTGTTTGGCTTTAAATCTTCATAAAAAATGCTAATTGTGTTGCTGTTTGACGTTACGCTCTGGTAGTAACTGGTGTGGTTACTCTGGCTGTTCTCCATTGTCCGTTGGGTACGTCTAATGGGAGAACCTACACGTGAGTACATGCGGGGGAGGGTGCAAGTGAGTAAGCCAACGTCTCGGTTCAACAGGGATTGGTAGTGCACTCATCGGGGAAGGAGCCTTTTAATGGATACAACAGAACATGTATGTGGGTGACCACATGGGGTGACAACATGTGATAAGACGGTAATCAGCAGCATTGATCAGCAGAGTCGAAGGTACACTCCTTTTTCTCTTTCTTCATGGAAGGGTGGGTGTGTGTCTGGTTCAGGGTTTAAGGTTCTGGCGCGGCAAAATGGGTGTGACCCACGTGTCTGCCGGGGAAGTATGCCTTACTGGGGTGATCTTCACTCGGAGTGTACCATTTAACCCATTGTGCTGATGTGATTGGGCAGTCGTGCAGAGCGTACAGAGGGAGGAAGTCTCTCTTTAGCACAACGGACGGTCTTTCACATGTATCGTTTTTTTTTTTTTTTTTTTTTATTTTATTTTATTTTATTTATTTATTCATTTATTTTTCCTCTTTATTACCAATTCGGCCGAGCAACCTCAATGGAAGGATCGCCAACCCTGCGACGCACATGCAGCTAAGAGGAAATCTAGATGTGCTACTCTGCCTCGCGTATGGTTAAATAATCACCGGTTTGTATTTCCCCACCCCAGGGGTAGATAAATTTACAGTAAGAACAGATCTACGGGGGAGGGCTGGCTGAAGCTTGAGTCCCCTCCCTCTTCTGGTTCTCGGTGCGCAACTTTGTGTGGTGTTCTCTTCAGGTGCGTCTTGGGGAGGTGAGCATCAATGAAGTTTTGGGGATCCGTTTTGGAGTGCCTCTTACGTGATCCGTTTTGTAGGGCCTCTTTCGTGAGCTTTTTTTCCCCCTTTGAAATTCCCCTACGTAGGCTCTACACGTCCGTTGCTTCCAAAAAAGGGTAACCCTTCCAACGATGGGCAATTCGACTAGGTAGGGGTATAGGTGTACGCCTGCGGCGGTCGCACTCAGGTAGTGCTATTCTTGTGCTCGTCTTGGCTAATTGGGAGAGTAACCAAACGGGATAGCAGCTGAAAACTGAAGACACCCAATGTTCCTTTGTGTGAAGAACCTCTGGACAAGAATATGCAAATGTGTATATAATGCACTCGCGTTGCCAACAAATGGGTCCCCCTTTTTCTTTGCTTCGATAATCAAAAAAGAAAAAAAAAACGGTGCCTTCAAATGGCCCGCCTGTCGTACAGCAAATATATATTATTTATCCGATCCTTTTAGGGGTTCAGTTCTGCCCACCCACCACCAAATGAAAAAAAAAAACAAAAAGGTGCTTGTATTGTACGTCGGGAAATTCAGAAAAATAATTCCTAATCATTTCAGTAGATGCCCCTTAATTGCGTTTTTTTTTTTTTTTTTTTTTTTTTTTT